ACTTTAAGTCACAATTAATGTATTAATTAGAGTGTTGGCACTAATCGATTGGCGCGAAAACACCTAACACAGAAGTAATTGCAATGCAAGTATATTTCAAAAAAAACAGCCCTGCATTATATGTTTGTTTGTTCCGAAATAACATTGCCATTTAACTTGCACAGCAATGTGCACTCTCAGCAGGACCCAATGATTCTATGTCTTACCTTATTACAAATATCATAAATATACAGATAAATAAGTTAATATACTAAATAATATTTCAACAAAATACAATTTATCATGATCTCAGTCATAGTGGTTTTTTCATTTTCCTTAAAAAGGTTGTGGAAAGTGCCGATGCTGCCTCGCACAGAACCAAGAAGGTCTGTGTTCTCCATACAGAATCAATTACACACTTCACTTCCTTGGTGTGAAATTCTTGTACTTTTAGCGACGGTCTTTCTGCCTAGCCTAGCAGTACCTTTCGTCCACCTGAGCAGTCTTTATCGTCTGCAACTCAATCGCAAAGCATAAATTCTATTCACCAAAATTATATTTTTATTCTACAAATAATACATTTTTTGTCATAACTTACTAACCACTAATTATATTATAAGACATGTATTAAGAGGATTGAAGGTCCCTGTGCCTCCCTAGCAACAGTTGTATGGCACACTGTGAGCAGTCCTTAGCTTCCGACAACTCGTTCAAAAAACATGAATTTTATATCAACTATCAATGATATCTTTCTAAAAATTATACATTTTTAACACTAAACATTACTACCAATAGTTATCTTATATGAATTGCCCTACAGCAAATATTTAATGGTCCTTGTGCCGTCACTTAAAAATGCCTATTTAAGGTCCCTACAGTCCTTTCGAAGCATCCTGAGCAGTCCTCTAGCCGTCCCGCAAACTCATCGAAAAGCATAAATTCTATTCACCAAAATTATAATTTTCTTACAATAATACAATTTTTGCTATTAACTTACTACTATATATTAAAGAATGTTCAGGACGGATTTTAAGGTCCTTGTGCCTACCTAAAGCAGCTTGTTATGCACCTGAGCAGCCTTAGCGTCCGACAACTCACTTCAAAAACATGAAATTTTATCACTAAAATGATATTTTTCTAAAAATTATAACATTTTTTGTCACTAAACATACTACCATGAATTATAAAGGAAGCCCCAACATATTTTAAGTCCTTTGTCCTCCCTAGGAGAAATATTTATACGTCTTGTGACCTGCTAGCAGTCCATTTTCACCTGAGCAGTCCTTACCAGTCCGCAACTCATCGAAAGCATAAATTCTATCACCAAAATTATAATTTTTTCTTAACAATAATTACATTTTTGTCTATAACTTACTTACTATATATTATAAGAATGTTTATAGCAGAGCGAAACTTGAAGTCCTGTGCCTCCCTAGCCAGTTGTTAGTCACCTGAGCATTCCTTAGCCGTCCGGACTAACTGCTCTCAAAAACATTGAATTTATCACTAGAATGATATTTTTCCTAAAATATACAATTTTTGTCACTAAACATACTACCATGAAAATTATAAGAATCCCCCAATAGTTATTTTAATCCTTTGTGCCTCCCCTAGAAAATTAGAGGTTCTTGCCCGCCTAGCAGTCCTTTTAGCACCTGCAGCATCCTTAGCCGTCCTAGCAACTCATCGAAGCATAAATCTCTATCACCCAAAATTACATTTTTTCTTACGAAATACATTTTGTCTATTAACACTAACCATATATTATAAGAATGTTCAAGGAGGATTTGAAGGTCCTTTGGCCTCCCTAGCAGTTGGTAGTCACCTAGCAGTCCTTACGGCCCGACAACTCTCCTCAAAAACATCAAATTTTTATCACTTAAAATGATATTTTTTCTAAAAATAAATACATTTTTTTCACGAAGACATACTACCTGTATTATAAAATGCGCCTAGGAGGTATTTTAAGGTTCCTTTGGCCTCACTAGCAGTCTTTTGTTATCTGAGCAGATCCTTAGCCGTCCCGAACAACTCATAAAAAATTATTCACCAAAATCATATTTTTTCTTTAAAATTATATTTTTTTTCACTAAAAAATAATTACCATGTAATATATAAGAATGCCTAGAAAGGTATCTTTTAGGTCCTTGTCCTCTTTGAAGTAGTCCTTTGTGGCTCCTTAGCAGTCCTTAGCGGTCCTTAGGAGTCCTTAGCAGTGTTTAGTAGGACCGGAATTAAACTGAAACAGAAAGCTGAAAAATTATGATATCTACATCTACATCATACTGCTTTAAAATCGTTTTCGATCACTCTAAGCAGGTGATATATCCTGTAGGTTCAACTAGAACAAAGAAATAATTTTTGGTTAATGGTATACAGGAAAGATATATCAATAAAATAGGAATTTGGAGGTTACGTACCATGGAGGAAATGTACCGCTGCATAAATGTACCATTTTTGAAGAATCCGGGTCAGCTCGGCCCTAAAACGTACTCGGCCCCCGAGTCAGCTCGGCCGAATCAGAAAGCTGAAAAAATTATAGATGATATCTGTAGCTTCAATAAACAAAAAATAATTTTGGGTAAATAGGTACTAATAGAAAGAATATAGTCAATTAAAACTAAGAATAATTGAGAGGTTACTACCATCAGGAAAATACCACTGCATAAAGTTACCACTTTTTGTTGAAGAATCCGGCTCAGCCGCCCTTAAAACGTACTCGGCCCCGAGTCAGCTCGGCCCTATACCAACTCCGCCACGGTCAACTCAGACCCACTTCTTCAATTATTAACTATTTAGTTTTGTTGTTATCACATTTATTTAATTATTATATATTACACGGCTATTGACAGTTTCCGAACCTACAGCAGAGCGAGGCTTTTCTGATTCAGTAGAATTGCAAGTAAAGATAAAACCCATTGCGTATCTCACTGTATTTCTGACTTAGATAGGTTTAACCTCATTTGACTCTATCTTACGCATAATCCAATTGAAAGTGCAGCACTTTGAAATCAATTTTGATGGAAAAAAATCAACGCAAAATAGTGATTTTGGCAATTTTGAGATGCTCCCCTTTGCCATGGTAACAGATAATTTAAGTCTGTGCATGTTGTTTCAAAGTCAATGGTCCAGTCAACATTTGTGCCAAGTTTGATAAGTATTGAAGCAGTTTTTATAGTATTATAGCAATTTGAACTTGTAGCGGGAGACTTTTCAATGAAAACAGGCATTTTTTCACAAAATGCTCATGAAGTAATGGGTTAAGGGTAAATATCATGTATCTCTTACCTAAACTGAATAAAAACAAACAAAAAGTTAGAGGACAACTAAATATTAAGCAAACAGTATGCTATAAATAACACAAATTGAGGTATAATTATTTTTCAACATATACATTTGTGACGTCATGACTTGATGACGTCACGATGGAGAGGGTTATGAATAGTTTAAAATAATGTGAACTATACTGTAGACTAGTATTATTGAAAACTTATAATTTGTACAATTGGTGAGTTCGATTTCATTGCCAGCATGTACAAGTGGTACCTTTTTATAACATAGTAGACCTTTCTGAATCTTTTAGATATATACAATTATCTTCAATCAAGATATAAATTATATCAGTTTGAATCATTTTTTTGTTCTTATTGAAATTTGATTGTGTTCAATAGATATTTCAAGCTCTTGATTACTTGATTTTAAAACCGAAATCAAATATAGAGCATGCACATCACTATCAAATGAACGTTGCTAGGGATGATTTTGTCGTAAGATTTATCGTAAGTGAATTTTTTATCTTAAGATAAAATTTTAACTTACCAGTGGCTTTGTGAAAATGACTTAAGAATTAACTTACGATTATCGTAAGTGAAAAACTTAAGATAAATCGTAAGATTTTTTGTGAAAATGTCTGCTGAATCACAATGAATGTGTTGCCATTGTAAGCACCATTCACATTCTACTGCAGCATCATCATCTCCGACTACAAGTCGGCACTGAATACACAAGTCTTCCATTACAATTTTTTCACAGTTTAAAAGTAATCCGTCAAAAGTAATCCGTGTTAAAAATCCAAGTATTTCAGTTTAAACATTTGACTTATGTAATGTGACTTATACTTAAATATATTTAATTGATTGTATTGTGTATGACGATGTATTTTGTACAAGTCTGAAAATAAAGTTTACTCTTCTGTTCTGTTTAGAAATTAATTATTCCAGAAACAAGCAGTATATACGTATTTGAAATGTGTTCAAAATATACAATAAAACACTAAATACAAGATGCTTATAATATAAGCATCTTGTATTTAGTGTTTTATTGTATATTTTGAACATATATATTTATATTTATATATATTATATTATCTTATATTGCTATGTTTTTTACGATCTGTATTTATTCAAAGGGTTGTTTCTTTTTTATGATAATCTTAATATAAAGCTTTTGACAATTACAAACAAATTAAATGAAATTGTTAAAAGACATTAAAGGACTCCTATTGTCACGGGCTATTATTATCAATCAGTGTGTGTGTATGTTATTAAGTGAACACGTTTTTGTTTCATTTTTTTCATATTACTTTACAAACAAAATGCATCTAAGGAAACACATTTTTATAAGATCTATATTAATTTTATCGAATCTGCAAGACAAATAAATAACATTTTTTTCTAAATATACTTTATTTCAGCAGAAGTACAATATATAATTATAAAATAATAAGATATTTCTTATTATTCATTTACCTTAACAACATGCAAAGCAAAGTTAATACGTTATATATATTTTTGTAAAGTGGGCCGAGTTGACCCGTGCCGAATTGGTATAGGGCCGAGTTGACTCTTTTCCTTTTTGAAGGTTACATACCAAGCTTTGTTGTTATTTATTTCTATTTTCTAGCTTCATTTATTAATGGTAAATATACAATATATATTATTATGTGTATATACATGTAGGTATTTTAATATACCAAACATGTAATCACATAACAAGTTTGTCTTGTTATAACAAAATTTCATCAAATTAAGATCAATAATATATAAGTTCTTTACAGATTCGGTAATAATTCTGTGTATGTTATATTTCAGATCCTTAGCGGTAGGCAAGAAAACTGGATACAAATTGTTTTCATTAAGTTCTGTGGAAAAACTTGACCACATTTATGATAGTAATGGTAAAGTTATTTCTTCAATAAATAAGGACAAAATAGAATCATAGGAAAAAGCTGATAAGATGTTTCATAACAGTACATTTTTATAATTATTTGAAATCTATAGGTAAAAAAATTGAGAATGAAAATGATTTTTGTCACATTCAAATAATTCTTTTTGTAGAAATATAAGACTACACAGTAGAAATACAAAATGTATATATCTAAACAAATAATGCTATTTATTCTATATTTGTTCATGTGGAACTGTTTTTCATAATATATATGAGCCGCATCATGACAAAACCAAAATAATGGGTTTGCCACCAGCATGGATCCAGACCAGCCTGTGCATCCGCACAGTCTGATCAGGATCCATGCTGTTCGCTTTCAGACCCTATAACATAAACAAGTAAAGAAACTGATAGCGAACAGCTTGGATCCTGATAAGACTGCGCGGATGCGCAGGCTGGTCTGGATCCATGCTGGTCGCAAACGCATTAACGTTGGTTTTGTCATGATTTGGCTCATATGTTTAATTATGATAGTACATGTTTTCATTCTATTAGAATTATTTTATTGTTTATAGCATGTGAAGATATCAGCATTGTGGAGAGATTATTCTCCAGTAGTCTGGTTGCCATTGTTAGTCTTTCATCACCAAGGAAACTTAAAGTCTGTCATTTTAAGAAGGGCACAGAAATATGCAACTATAGCTACTCTAATTCTATATTAGCAGTAAAATTAAATAGACAGGTAATTTATAGTATTACTGATAATTATATAATCAAGAATTAAAGGATTAGCAAAAAATAAACTTGAGATTTTGTCGTTCAGAATTTAGTGACTCTAGTATTTCTAAGGTCTAGTCTATTTTTCCAGAAACACATTGAAATTAGAATTAAAATTAATTGCGGAATTGGTAGATGACAAATGTTGAATGTCAAATTTGCATTTTTCTGTCTGAATATTGCTCATAAATACATAAAGGCATTAAAGCATTGTTACTTATATTGTTTTTATTCAAGTCATCTACATGATAAACAATTGCTGTGTAAAATGTTGATTAAATGCTCGTTTGTGCTTGAAATAATTTGTGGAGGGGCACCTTAGGTCTTCATCCGCCAGTTAAGCTTGAAAGTCACAATAAGTACCTTATACTAATGAGATTATTTTGCTATTTTATTTGTCTGAATGAATTTCTCAATGAAATTTTCTTGAATTGTTACAGAGACTGATAGTATGTTTGGAGGAGAGTTTATACATACACAACATAAGAGATATGAAAGTTCTACATACTATACGTGATACCCCACCCAATCCACAAGGTTTATGTGCACTCTCCATTAACAATGATAACTGTTTCCTAGCTTACCCCGGTAGTAACCAGATTGGAGAAGTTCAAATATTTGATACAATAAATCTGGTAAGTTTTCAAGTTGTTCACAAGCTATACATTTTGTATAAGTTTTTTACTTTAAAATTAAAGGAACCTCACTGAGTTCCAAAATCAAGCAAAAAACCCTTAAAATTTGATTTTCTTACATAGAACAGGTGAGACACCTAAAACTGAAAGATATGCAAAAGATTATAAGAAATATTATTATTTTATTATAATGAAAGCAATTAATTTTTTTTTGCTATTCTTTGCCTGATTTGAGTGAAAAGTAATTATTCTGGAAAAGCGAAATGACTGAATGAACTGAAATTTTGCACACACATAATTGGTCTATACCAACATCAAATAGAACATTAATTTCAAAAAATATTTTCCAGACCGGTCATGAAAAAACCAAAGTGGAGGCCCTTTAAGATACAAATTAGTTAGAATGAGGGATAAATATATTTTGAATTTATGTAGAAGGCTATTGTTAAGTAATAGAAAATCATTTGAACCATGCACAACACATATGGGAAATTTGATATGATATCATATGTAAGAAATTATTTTCATATTTCAGCGAGCTGTCACAATGATACCAGCACATGATAACCCCTTAGCTGCCATAACCTTCAATGCTCAAGGAACAAAAATAGCAACTGCTTCAGAAAAAGTAAGATACTAAGTTTATGGCAGAAATTGAGAAAAAAACCTCCATGATCTGTACATTGTGTGCAGATAATAAACCTCTATACTATGCTGAATATGTGTAATGAACTTGTCTTATTTTGAATATAGGATTGTTAGAGGGATTGTAATATCAAAATAATATTTTATTATCTGAGCAGGTAGCGGAGCCTGGTCAGATTGCAGAGATTTGCTGACTGGTGTGTCAGGGTATTAAAGTCCATGTCGTTGCAAGCATTTGTAATTTAAAATGTATTGATAGCTATACAATATGGGGCATCTTTGGTCTTGTGGTAAAGGTTGTTGACTTCAAACCACTGAGGGTTCGAATCCCAACAGGGATTTAGGATTCTTACATGTGAGAAGCTTATAGATTGTGCCTGAATTGATGCACACGCGCACCTTAGGCCTTCCTCCACCAGTAAAGCTGGAAATTGCCGTATGACCTATACTGTGTTGGTGCAACATAAAACCCAACATAAAAAGCCTGAACAATATTGCAATATTGTCAGATATGTTAGCAACAACATTGTCAGATATGTTCAAAAACAATATTGTCACTCAGATATGTTTAGCAACAATTTTATCATTTTCAAAGACAATCATTTTTAGCTTGACTCTGTATAAGAAAAAAGTCAGAACTATTGTGACAGTCATTTTGTTGTTTTCAATGCTGTTCAAAAACGTTGGTCATAAATTTATTTCTTAATGGATTGCCTCCATACTTGGGCATAACAACCCTTTGGACAATACTTTGGGCAGAACAACCCCTTTGGAGACCTTCAAGTTGACTAGACTGAACTTGATCGTGACTCATAAGTGACCTTGGCCTTCATAAATGTTAGATATTGTGACTATCTATCTGACTATCTATCTATCTTACTTGTTTGTCCAACCCCTCTCAAGGAGATAGAAAATTGCTATATCAGAATTGCAAGAACATTGTTTCAGTATTAAACTAGGAGTTTTGTGTATTAGACCAGGGTCCAAGGTTATAAAGAAGTTTGTTCAAAGATAATCCTGAGATTATAGACAGGGCATAGAAAAACTATAATCTTGAAGTTGGATCTACATTTCAAACATTTTTTGTTACTGACTTTGCCTCAGTTTTTGTATTGTTTAGTACTGTGTATTGACCTTGTGTTTGTAGGGTACTGTGATACGAGTGTTCTCTGTTCCTGATGGGTCAAAATTATTTGAATTTAGAAGAGGAATGAAAAGGTATTATTTACTATATAGTTGTGTTAAGTTTGCCAACTTTATTTATCATTGTTATTTTAATTTTGTCTAATAAAATAATGTTGCTTTTCATGATGTTTCAGATACAATACATCTTTTGATAAATTTAGAATTATTGATCAAGTATTGATTTCCCAGGTATGCTGTAACTTTAAGATTTAGATGAATATATAAATCTTGTTTACAGTGACATATCATATTCACTGTGATAGTAACAGTGTTAAAGAAATGACATTTTTTTATGAATGGTAAAATTTTGTATATGTAATTGGTAATATCACTTTATTTGTATATTGATATGTTATTTCAGATGTGTACATATATACTCATTGGCATTTAGTTCAGATTCTATATACCTATGTGCATCCAGTAATACAGAGACTGTTCATATATTTAAATTAGAAACTCAAAAAGACACGTAAGTATTCACTTAAATTCAGGAATGTGTCATTGTATGAAACTTTACATGTATTTTTCTCAAATATTGACCGTATATTATAAAGCAATAAAAATGTCCTCATTTGACAACATTTATAACTTAAAAGTATGTTTTCAGTTAACATATGTAGTGATGTACATGATTAAAAAAATCCCCATAGAATCTTGTCCACTTTAACTAGGGGAGGTAACTTAACTGAAATAATTCAAAACCTGCATACTCGAGAATTTCACAAATGTTCTTTTTGTAGTGATCATACTGAAACTGCTCAATTTTTGTATTTCTTTTTTCTTCTTTAATGTATAATATTAAAAATGTATAAGATATTGTTTGTAGTAAGCCACAAGAAGACCAGTCTGGATGGATGAGTTATGTGAATACAGCCACCAAACAGCTGACAACATATTTACCTAGTCCTGTCACTGATATGTTTAATCAAGGCAGAGCTTTTGCTGTCTGTAAACTTCCTAACCAAGGCCTTAAAAACGTGTGTGCAATAGCTAGGTATGTATATATGTATGTACATAATTTTTGCCCTTTAATGATAATGAAGCCTGTGATTAAGTTGCCACCTCCATTTTTATGCCATTTCTACATAAGGGAGTTGTATTAGCTTTGCCCTGTTTGTTTGTTTGTGTGTCTGTCCATCAGTAGATGTAATGTTGGGCTTCTGTTTTCTTCTGACACATTTCAAGCTTTTAATGACAACAAAAGATATCAAAATTACAATGAAATTTTTTTTCGCAGGAAAGATGTTTTTATGTGACTACTCTGACTAATTATTTAACTCTCGCCATGATAAATTTATTCATGAACTTTTCAATGTTAAGATTGATAATAAGAATTATTCAAAATAAGGTATATTTATCATAAAAATTTAGAAAGAAAATTGACAAAGCTGAACCTCTCAGTGATTTAAAAAAGAAACAAACAAAAAAACAATTAAAAATAAAGAAACAGATATTTATGTACATGTATTTAGATTTGAACATCATCTTGGCAATTATGTTTCTTGTGTAATTAAAAAAGGTTGCCCTGGAACCACACTCTTGGTGTAATGTAAATAAATAACAACACTAAATGCTTCTTTGTCAGTTACTAGTACATGTACATCAACAGTGACTCTATGTGAACCAAGTTTTATAGACATCTGTTATACTTGAACATCCTAGCAAAACTGTATTAGTGCTCAATTTTGTAGTATGATGATACTAGAAATTTAGATTTATGTAAAAAAAATAAAACCATAACTGTATAGATACAATTTAACTAGAGCTATATAATTCACCAGAATAGCACACATGTGTAATTTTGTAGTCATTATTACAGTGTAAGGGAAGCACAGAGGTAACTATAGTTTGAAAGTAACCCCCGTAAAGGGTGTATTTGGTGTTAATTAAATTGATTATTTCTTCTTAACCCAATACATACTGCACAATACTTATTTCTACCTTCTTAAATTATAAATTATTTTGTATAAGCCCTCTCAGAATTACATTACTAGGAGATATACTTTAACTTACATCACACTGTCTGTGCATAGATTAATCTTTAAAGCTGCTTTTCACAATCATTTCTCACTTGATTTAGCAGAATTAGTAGATACAATTTATTAAGGGAATGTATTGTTCTAGTTGTTTGTGTGGAAACTATGAAAAAAAATCTTTTTGTTAAGTGATGATTGTAAGATTTTTTTAGCTTGATATGTCCAAACAATGGAATATTTAAATAAAAAGACTTAAGTTTAATGTAATCATCTTTCATTGTTTGACGGGAGAGTTGTCCTAGTGGGCAAAATATCTGATTCTCAATCCAGGATTGTTGGTTTGAGTGCTACTGGAGTTATTATTATGTTTCCTGATATGACATTGGAATCCACATATTAATTTCTATTTTAGATAATAGACAGTTGTAATAAATTTTATAAATATGTGTTTGTTATCACAATGATATATAACTGGTAGCAACTTTGGAGCCATTGGCACAAACTTTTTCTGATTGACGCATTTGGTGGCGCAAACTAAAATTGACCCAACTTGAACCTTGGTACTAAGACTTGTTAGGAACAGCCACCTTTTATCTTCATGATCTAGCTAGAATTATATTTCTTTAGCTGAATATTATTTGTTTGAACTGACTACGGTTTAAGATTGAAAACAATATGATGGAAGTGGGTATGGAAGGGATAAGTTAAACTCACAGTTTGATTGTTAGTGTGTAAGCATTGTAAGACTGACATTTTCACAAATCAAAACTTCACTGTGTGAGACATAGCTGTGTTTGTGGTTTTTATCTTCCTAAAAATACTGATTCAAATTTTAGGTTACAGCTAACAGCACATTTATTTATATGAAGCTTTTGCTATGTTTTGCTGTAACATGATTATTGTTATGATAGTAATCACTACTCCGTTTTAGATTACAATAAAGTCACATGTGATTTTTTGTTGTTGTTGTAATGAGAATAAATAGAGATCAATTCTGTCTCACACAGAAGCACACTTCCCTGTCTGTAGAAGTTACAAATTAGCATCAGTACTATGTTAGTGTATATGTGACAGTATAAACATGCTAATCCTACATATTGTTTGTGATCAAATAAGAAAGTATTTAGTTGATATGTCAGCTATATTTTCTTGTATCTTCCTGGAAAATATAAAAACATGATGAAAGTCCAACAGACTTTACTCTTTCAATTTTATTGTAATGGGTGAAAGAAAATCACAACCTCACTGTTTTTCTAACTTTTGTTGCAAGATTTAATCCATTTGATGATTATTTATTTTAAATTGATGTTTAATTTCTTTATTTTTTAAGATTTTTTCTCACATAAAAGTTTTATAAAGGCTTTCTGATTCATCAATACATGTCTATGCATGCTATAATGTTTATATTCTCCTCTTCTTTGAAATCAGCATGAACACTGGGCTTTCTTAGTATTTTAAGGATTGATTCTTTAACTCGACAATGCTTTAAGCAAAACTGAAAATCTTTTGTCCTAGTATTAACTAGGCCAGTCCTTCCAGTCTGACCAGGCTCTATACTCTCTGCTTAATAACTTCCTATTTCATTTGGTGACAGCCCTAAAAATTATTAGTGGACCATTTTTAATATTGAAGAACATGTTCCATAAAACAAAATCAGCAAGTTTAGGGTTAAATCTTTTTGAAACTGTGTTTACTCATTGAAGAATAATTCTTGATATCCCCTCGTTTCTATCATAATAAAAAAAAAAGAAAGATTTTCTTGAACTAAAAAAAAAAAATAAGTATATAAACTATCAATCTAAAATAAAACCAAAATTCAATGTAATTGTTTTTATGCACAGTAAGTAAAGTCAATGTCTTTAATTACATATCTTCCAATTACCATTAGTTTGATTCCTTTAAAGAGATCCTCGAAATTTATGATATATTGATTATGCTAAGATTTAGATCTTGAGAGATGTCACAAAAGTTGTTAATAATCTATTTTAAAAAGAAAATCAACAAGAAATAACCAAAGATTAACTGGTTTGATTTAAATGATATTCATTTTGTTGTAAAGTTTTTAAAATGATAAAGAGATAATTTGTCAATCAAAAAGTAGATCTTTGACAGTTCTACCAATCAGATGATATATTTCTGGACAAAAAGGATAGGCAGATTGGCCGAGTAGTTAATGTAACAGATCAGTAATTTAAGGAACACAAGCAGCATGGGTTCAGACCCTGTCAGGATCAAGCCCTTGGTTCTTTGAGGAAGAAACTTTACACTCATTGCTCAGTACTGGTTGGTTTCAGGAATGGATTCAAGAGTGTGTCTAGGATAATAGCTTCCTGCACAATCAAACTAAAATAAAATCTGTATGAACTAAAAAAAAAATTTTTTTCTGTAACACAAAGCTACAGATATTATTTCAGTATTATTATTTCATACATTATTAATACATGTATACATTTTGTAGTTTTATTTCAAGCACATTTTACATTATTTATTATTATTTCAGTATACAGAAAATCCCTCGCCTGCTTGTAGCTTCCCAAGATGGATACCTGTATATATATAACCTAGATCCTAATGATGGAGGGGAGTGTACTCTTCTTAGACAACATGGGTAAATTGAAATTCACTTCTCTCTTAAATTCTTTTAAGCAGTTTTATTGTGTTTTTTTTTCAAAATGCAAACATTACGTTATTTTTCAAGTTGTGAAAAACAAAAATGTCTGTAAGTTTGAATCTTCACTATATTTACATTTCTTAAAAAAGATTTTTATTAACAGTTAAAATTTAAATGAAATTAAAATTATTGAACTTGTGAAATATTATGTGAAGGTCCAAAGTGCAACAGAATTTGTTTGCTTTACTGTAAGATATGTTTAGCTTTACTGTTCGAAGAATTGGGAGAGTTATCATACTCACCCAGTCATCAGCACCAGCGTCACACTTAAAGTTTTGCATGCAAGTTGATAGCTCCAAAACAACTGAAGGGAATGGGTTGAAACTTCAAACGCTTATTTAAAAGCATAATAGGTCACAGTGGAAGGGCCATAACTAACGCTGACATGGATTTTGACTGAATAATTGCCCTTTTTAAACCTAGAAAATTTAACATTATTAAGGCTCTTGTTTTACTGACAAGCACTGAGAATAGTCAAGCCCACTTATTATTATGGTTTCTTTTGGAGTCTGTAAAAACTCTCAAGCTTTGTAGAGTTTTGATAAACGATGTTACTTTTGATAGATATTTGAACCTTAGGAGAACATTGTCACAAAGTTGAATGAATTTCATTATTATAAACGTAATAAAATTGTTGTTTGTTTATGTTTGTTAGTTTGGATGGACGTTTGTGTGAGGGAGGTAATGTTTCTGAGCCCCCTACTGGAAGTTCTGATAGACCACTAACCCAGCAATCAAACCCTGTCAGCTATGCAGGTTCACTGAAGCGTGCAGAACCGGCAGGAGATGGTACACCACCTCGGCACAACGCAGGTAAGCCTGTCCCCAGTCCCTCTACGTCGCCATTCCGTCTGGAGAGTTACGCCACGGTCCTGCAACAGGGCAAGTCAGGACCGCAGGAGGTCGGGGAGGACCAAATATCTGAGATAGATATTATACTTGATGGAAGAGGTAACTGTAAATAATGCACAATGTACTCATTACCAAGTATACTTGTTTCAGCATGTACCTTATGGTGTTAGAACATTTCAGTTACCTTTTCATCATCATAGACCTTAACATATAACATGACTTTGATCATATCATCTTGACAAGTGTCCTTAATTTGACAGCTAGCATGACCATAACAGCATTGTCTTGACTATGATAAAAACTTTAACTCAAATATATCTATGACCATTAACAAAGCATTGACTCAACATTACATGACTTAGATAACTTACATATAACATGACTTAGACTATTCTTGTATAGAATTTTAGCCATTGCAAACCAGTATTTTCCTAGTATTGTAAAGTATTTCTGGAAAATAATGATTAAGATAAAGTGTAGTTAATTTTGAGGTTTATTAAGAGGTTTGGAGGTTACATGTTACAAAACTGAGTTTAGCACCCTGTCCTGTTATACTTCCTTACAATAGATTTGGTTGACTTGGATTTTAATATAAGGGAACACATAAAAAAGAGATAGCAGTCATCAGTTATAGTGGATCTGCTGTCAGATAAAAAAATAATGTAGGCAATCTGTGTGTGAAACTAGTCCTCATATAACTTACTGCTTGTTAATATGCCATTCACATTATTCCCTGTTTATAACATTTAAACAACTTTTTTTCTAAGACCTGAAGATATTTTATATATCCGTTTTGAACACACTTTTGTGAATTTGTAAATTAAGTTGCTTGGTTGAATCAGTTATTTAGGAAACTGAATATCTGTTATTTTCTGCTACCAGTGGGAATGATAATGATATATTGTATATTATAATATACATGTACATGTATTTTCATGCTTGATATCTAACATAAACAGTGACCTTTGACACAGAACAATCAGTATAACCACAAAATGACATTATTGTGGAATACTGAAATCATTGTAAGATAGTAGTGCAAAAGAAAGACAAGTTTAGACAGAGAAAGTTTTATCATTTTACTGTCATTCATCTTCATTTCTAATACTTTATCATTAGAACTTTTATTTGTTCATTTCACTGTACATTAGTTACCATTAATTTATGTATGCATTTTACACCATCAGCCTTTAAATTTGTCACAATTTTATTATTCCTGTAGCTAGTTTCTGTCATGGTCAAACTTTTACTTAATCTTCATTTGCACCTTAAAATGTAGTAACAGTTTTATGAGAGTGATTAACATATGCTTCAACTCTATGGTTAAAACTGTTAGAAATTTTTCTTTAAATAAAATTGTTAAATTGGCATGGAAATGGTCAACAGCTAGGTGACAGTTGAGCATGGAAAATCATTATTAAATTATTTACATCTATTGTGAAAGAAAATTTGCACTTATGCTCACTGTAACAACAATTTAAAGAATTAACATGAAATTATATTAAGAGATACTATTTATATACATGACCATCTAATCAGAATTTTGTTAATTTCTTTGTGTGAAATCAAAAACAACAATTTATAATTTAGAAATCTATATCAGAATTGATAACTTTTGTGCTCTTCCATTAAGCATGTATTCATGCTGATATTTTGTTCATGTTGCCGTGGAACATGTTGTTTTAATGCAATGAATTATTTGTATAATAAATTAGAGGCAATATAAGGATAGTGCTATGAGAACAAATAGATTTGTGCAAACTTTTGTCTATGAATCTGTTGGCACATTGTGTGTTATAGAAGTACAATGTATATTCCTGGAACAAATTTTAAAGTATTGTATATGTTGTATATGTTAAATGATCATCAGTTTGACTCAGTATCTTACCCTATTGTAAATATATTGTAAAGATTCTGTAACAGTACTTACTTTGTATGGTATTGCAACAGAAAGTCTGTCAACAGGTAATATTGCATTAACAGTCACAGTGGTGTATATATGTACTTTTCACAGCAGGATTGTGGGATATATGCTTCTTCTCTTTTCTTTTCAAGATTTTCAGGAGGGAAATATTTTTGAAAACAATCTCATACATGTTGAATTTTTAGATTTTTTATTTCTAAATGTATTTTCTTGTAAAGTCGTTTAACCACAACAAGTCTGAGATATTTTGTTCACCTGAAATTAAAGTTGAATGTCAAAGAAACAAATGAGCCATGTCACGACAAAACCAACATAGTGGGTTTGCGACCAGCATGGATCCAGACCAGCCTGAGCATCCGCGCAGTCTGATCAGGATCCATGCTGTTCGCTTACCAACTCAATTACAAGTAGAGAAACTGATAGCGAACAGCATGGATCCTGATCAGACTGCGCGGATGCGCAGGCTGGTCTGGATCCATGCTGGTCGCAAACCCACTATGTTGGTTTTGTCGTGACACGGCTCAAATGACTTTCACAATAGCCTAAAATAAAAATTTGGAGGTGTACATATTTTGTTTCTATCACATTTGATTTGTATCTTATTTTGCATGGGAAAGCAATTTTTGTTAAATATTGAACCAGTATATTTTTATTCTATTTTCATTTCCTGTGGGTTCGAATTCCAACAGGAACTTTGGATTCTTTTGTGTGAGTAAGTTATCCAGCTGGCTCATGGAATGTCGGGGTTCTACTCGGGTACCCATTCGTGCCTGAAATAATGCACGGAAGGGCACCTGAGGTCTTCAGTAAAGCTGAAATGTCGCCATATGACCTATACTGTGTCAGTGTGACATAAAACCCAATCAAACAAACATGATATATATATGTATATTTAATGTTACTTTTAATATTCTGTTAAACTAAGTGATTCCTTTCTAGTTAGCTACTCTTAGTTATTTGCCTTCAGGTTATAGATTTTAATCTTACTGAGTTAGTATAGTCATTAAATACATTTTATTGATTTATGAGCAAAGATTACATCTCTGTCAGTTCATTAAAGGTTAACAATTAATCATTTATGAAGGATTTAAGTTATAAGTACAATTAAGTGTAATAATTCATCTAAGGCTTTGCCTGTCTTTATGTTTCATTAAATGCATGTTTGTGCCATTATTATAAAGGGAGGGAAATGCATGACTTACCTATTTAATAAAAGAAGTTGTTTAATTTTTATTATTTGCAAGCATACTTCATTTATTTGCATGATAAAAATGGTTTATTTTATTACAAATAAACTGATACTGTATGTGTTTTGTATTGTTGCCAGGTGAAATGATGTAAAAATATTACTGATCATATAGAACTTCCTATGTTCCATATAGGCCATTTATATAATGTTTATGTTTTAAGTGATCTTTTTAGCTCACCAAGCACAATTTGCTCTTAGTGAGTTTTTGTGCTCACCCTCTTTCCTTTGTTTGTTGTTGTCAACAATTTCTTTAAACAACATCTCCTCTGCAACCAATTACTGTATTTTGATTACACATCAAAGGGATGATCCTTGGATAGATAGTGTCCTATCAAAGTTGTTCAAATGAATCTCTACCAAGATTGTTTAAATCATGGTCCCCAAGTCAAAGTTGACCTTGCCCCCGTTGTCATTGGTTAATTAAAACCTTCTTAAATTTACTTCTCTGAAACTTTAATGGCTATCGCTTTAGATATATGGCATTAAACTGCAATCCAGTTGACCTATATCAAAATTACCCCAGCCATGGGGTTCATTATTTTTACATCAATTTATATAGGGAATTTTTACTTAATAGCTCCTCTTGTTAGAAATTGCCAAGCCGAGAGCTTTTATATTTGGTTTGTAGATCATCTAGAGGTTTAGTACATAGGCTGTAAAAATTATATCCTTGAGACTAACTCCGGGGGTCATCAATGTTACATAGACTTTCATAGGGAGAACTATAAGAAAAATCTAACCTTTCTTTGAGATACATGAACAATCATTGTGAGTTTCATTGGCAGGACAGTACATCCTCTAAATTTTGAAGGTTTAACTGACTTCATTATAGTTTATAAAACCATAAAATTCATGCTCTACTGACAAAGTGACATTTTGGGGTTATTTGTCACCACTGTTAAAATGTTCACACCAATACCATTTTGTCCTCAGGTGAGCAACTTTTGGCCAATGCAATTCCCCATAATGTTTATGTGTTTTAATGAGAAAATGGAAATGCTGTTATCAAATGGGAAAGCCATTCTCTGATAACCCTTTTCATTATGATTCAGAACACTTAAGATGGTGACTGGTGTTTAAATCTATGTATATACATGTATCTGTCCTTGGAGTTCAAAAAAAGAATTATAAAAAGAAGCTGTGCATGTGCAATATAGTACTGCTCAGTATTTTATTATTAGACAGCATAAGCAAAGTTAGATCAGCTGTAGACTAAACCTGTTACTGACATTTTGACACAATCATAGAATTAATCCTGTTAGTTTTATGAATATCAACTATCTAATTAATTCCATTTGCATTTAATTTCATATTAAATAAAACATATTGAAATGCTCATTTTTTTAAAAATTTGCCAAAGATCACATTGTTATTATTTTTCTTTTAATAATGACTTACTTGTCAGTAAGTAAAACATTTAATTAAGTCCTGATAACATTATGTTTAAGGTAGATGTTTTGCTTTCTTTATTAAAATGAAATAACGGTAAAGGTTAAAAATGTCCAGGTATTGTAATATTCCTGTTCTTACTGTTTGTATATACAGATATTTGTATATAATTTATTGAGTAGAGCTGTAAGATTATTTTGTATATTTTCAGATTCTCAGCCATTCCAAGAGTTTGATCAAGGGGCCACGGGACAGGATGTAGCAGCTGGGACAGGACTGAATGCATTACGATTGGATGATGACAATGAATTCCCTCCCATGACCCATAAAGTTGATTGACACCTCAATATAGAACAATCTATACTGGAAACATAGGGATGGTAATGTGTAAGTGTAAATGGTTATGTCATGTAACGGACATGGTGCGAGACTCCCCCAGATATATCTACAGTTCTGCATTTCTTAATGTATTCTAAAACCTTATAACTACTACACTGAAAATGTCTATATGTATACAATACTTTTCCTTTGTATTTCTGAACATGTTTGTTAGTATTGTTACACATTTTTATGTCTCTGGTACTACAAACTAGGTGTATATTCTTTAGCAATAACATGCTTTACACTGTTCTGCTATTTTGCATTTCCTGAAAGTTCCTCAGTTTAAAAGTTCCTTAGTATAATAAACTCGAAAAAATAACAATACTAAATAAAAAAAATAATTCTGTTACACAATCATGCCCTATGCTTATCATCTTCAATGTTATTTTACTGAAGATTTATCTTTTTTACTGCTACTATCAATAGAGGGATGTTAAATCATACTGATTTTATTGGAAGGGCACCTTACAGTGTCATATCATTTATATTTTTATTCCTCGTATTTTCTACCTTACAGTTGAAAATATGCATGTTACCAGGTTGTTGTATTTATTTTTTAAGGTAATTGGGTTGCTAGTCACTTGATATATTTTTGCACTTTAAAATTCTGCAATTTATTGGTATAATTTGATTGAAAGCTGCCTTAAATGTGGTAATGTAATATTCAATTTACTTTATATTCATCCTAGCATATTGTTCCATCATGTTGAAGTTTGTTGTATAAATGACAGTATATAAACCATCCTTGAAATAAACCATGTCATCTAATGATTTAAGCATAGAATGAACCATGTTCTTAATTTACCATATTTCATGGTCTTTTCCTGCTTTGGAATATTGTACATTTAATGTGAGGGACTGTGACATTGAAGTACAATGAAGTACTAAAATATACATACAGGCTGACCTGACTGTATACATGGTAGGTCTGTCGACATGTTTACAAGTGGTAGGTCAGCCAACCTAACTATACTGGTGGCAGGCTGACGTGACAGAATGCTTGTGGTAGGCCAACCTAACTGTAAAGTGGTGGTAGGCCATTACCTGGCTGTTTACTGGTGGCAGGCTCACCTGACTGTATACTGGTGGTAGGCTGACCTGACCTAGATATATACTTGTGACAGCCAGACCTGACAGAATACTTGTAATAGGCCAACCTAACTGTAAAGTGGTGGTAGGCCAACCGGACTGTTTACTTGCAATTTAACATTTAAATATTTGTCTTCTTGAGATTATTATATAATTTGACAATATTGTCAAATACATATAACAAGGCTGTGAGATGACTGCATGTATATTTAAATGGATTTGTCTTCCTGTCCAATACAGTAAACAAAAGTTTCTTTAACACAATGTTATAAATATTTCATAAATATTAAGATTGTTTGCATTGATTGACAGTGAATTATCAGCATTTAAATGTGTGATTTTAAGAATAATGTTTATTCAGAGTAGTCACAGGATAGTTAAAATGAAATGTTTATGTGATAGCAGATATAGTAGAAGTATACAGTGATTTATGTTGACGAGATTGCTTAACAGAAATTGAACTGTACCATATACATGTATTCCCAACAAATCTATGTGGAGACATTGTGACATTTTTTATAAGCAAGATTATTAGTCAACTTTGATTCTTTGTTAACAAATTTGTTGTACATGTATAGAGTAAATTTTAGTTACTATATTAGTTGTATTTCTTTCCTATGTAAGATAGTAAAAGTTGGTTTCTCTTTTTTAATACAATGTTAATATTTTGTACTTTTTCAAAGCTTTATATGTTTTAAGACATATGTAATATAATGTGACAGACAAAATTTGAACTCACATGTTTGTATGTATATTTATGTAGCAATATTTTTACATATATACTAATGATAAAATGTCTGATGATTGTGAACAGTGTCATGTGATTAATGGTGCTTTAGTCAGCATAACTCCCTAGCTCCTTGTTGCTTCCATGAAATTATATACTAACTCCTCCCTTGAAACGTGGAAGTTTCTATAAATATATTCTGTAAAACTTTGTAAAAGTGACCCAATTTTTCCTGATAATAAAATATTATGTTTCAAATATTGATTTGATATTAGAGTGTATATGATAAATGAATAGCTAATTAAATGATGCGAACTTTCGGTTTACAACATATACCATTAACATTTCCCATGCAACAGTGCTTCTGGTTGTTGTTATTAAACATATTCCAACCAAACTTTCATTGTTGTGATGCTTTTAATTGTAGTTTCTTAACACATGTGTTATTTAATATAGATTTAATTTCTAACGATTTGTTTTATTTAATACCGAGATAATAAAGTATCTGATTCTGAGACTGAAATGTGTGTATATGATATAAGAATGTTAACACTAGGTAATGGTCAGTAAATTATCATATTAGCTGCATATATAGTTACCATATTCATGATTCAAACATTATTTAGTTTTATTGTGCTATTCATTCGTTGTTAAGGCAAATCTTATTTGATACAAATAAAAAAAATATGAAAATGGTGCAATCATGTGTTGTTGTGTCTTCATGTTTTGTTGTGCAAATTGTGATGTGGAAATGCTTATCATTTGTGCATTAATAGAAAGTATAATGGTTAGAAGATAAGAATGTTCAAAGGAGAAAAAAAAATATTTTAAATCACACAGAAAACAGTCGATAACATAAGACCTCGGTGTCCCCACCGCTATTGGTTTTGTCAGGGACTCTCATGTTAGGTAGCTTTTAAGCTAGCTAACGGGAGGTCGATGGTTCTAAGCCATTACTATATAATTATCATATTCATCCCCTGGAAAAACTGGAAAGTAATCATGTGATCTCAACATTATCGGTATCACTTGTCGTTAATTTGTCGAAATCGTATTACTAAAACTACTGATAATGAATTGTTGATTTTTTTCACCGAGTTTGATGTGACAGTAGGCAATTATGAATATAACCAACATACAACATTGTATCACCAGTAGTCGGCGATTGTATTGCTGAGTTAGTAAAACAAGTCGAGCTATTTTTATCCACGACAGAACTGCTACTGTCTTTGATCATCTTGAATACCATAATAATATTATTATCCGTTCTTCAAACATTACCGTACTCTCCCAAACTGTCGTCTCGACAGTAAAATTTACTCTTGATTGATCATAGACTGCCTTTAAGTGGTAACATAGAAGTACAGATAACTCCAGGAGCATCGCTTTTATACCCAAAAAGAAGACAATATATTAGGAGAAACTTTCTTTATCATTTCAATTAAGGTCTACTGTTTATATAGACCGATGTTTTAAAGGTGATATCTTATTTACACCAGGTGTTACATATTTTGCTGAACACATAGAGACAACGAAGTATTGCCCGTACAGGTTTCTTGCATTATTTTAATATATTTATTCGAAACAAACAACATGTTTAGATTTAATTAAATGTTCTGCCTGAATTCGATTTATTCATTTATGATTTTTTGTAATTTATTATTAGATCAAATTCCTTATTTTGTTGATAACATGAAGTCATACATCAGTAAACTGTAGAGAGAGTTGTCATTAAATTGCCGTTCTACTATATATTACACTATTTATTATACAAATATTTTTATTTGATTGAACTTAAGTATGAGAGATCAATTTTACGAAAGATTTTCGATATATCCCATTTTGATTGAAAACTGAAGAAAAGTTTTACTTTTACGGCGTATTAACTCGTAAAATCATTATAGATGTAATATTGCACCATAAATCATTTAAGGACATTAATTTGTTTCGATTAATTCAAATCTGCGGAATATCAATATGGCAATCTGTTTTATTCGAGCTTAACATTTACCACTTGGTTTTAAGACATTAGGGAATTATTATGTTTTGTGGTAGAGATAGGATTGACGAGCGAGTATAAGTGATCGGTAAACAAGAATAATTCGCTTGTCAAATAAGAAACGAGCTCTTGACTTAAAACGTGCATTATAAAACCGGCGGGAACGTATCTATTACGTGCAAAATCTACAATCAATAGAGCTCATTGAACCCTATTAGGCTATTTTGTTTGTGTTCAGTGAAAAGTGAAATATAATAAGTGGAGAAAAGGACCTGCCATGAAGAATTTACGATTTAAATTATTACTACACACACTGGACTTTTCGGAAGGTATTTGACCATTTTGCAGCGATTCAAGAAGAAATATTTTTTTCATGGAAGAAAAGAGGATTAAGAAAATTCACACCTGTTTAATATTGCGGATTAGGAGGTTGCATAAATTTACATAAACTATAATGAACCGAAGTAAATCAGCCGGTGCGCCAACACCGTCTAAAGCCGTGATTGAAGGTAAGTTGTAGGCTTTGTTTAATACGATGGTTTAACATATCAACAAAAATGTAAATATATATACTAGTATTTGAACATAAATGTTGTTAAGTTAAATTTCGAACATTTTTTTCTTCAAGTTTGAGTCGTTGAAATACTTAAGTTTTATTTCTCTTTGTTATAGATTTTTTTATCTATTTTGGAAATTGTGAATGATAAAACATATTAAGTCGTTAAATACATATGGAATAGCTAGATAAGGCACTGCTGAGATTTGTTATGCCCAACGACTATATGTTTAAGGTATGCAACAAATAAGGAGCGGTGGCCTAGTGGTTAAAGTGTCTGCCACTCAACCAAGTTTCCTCATATGACAGGTTTGTCCCGGGAAGACGTCTCAAAACTAACATAAATTATAGAAGTAACAATTGAGCGGCTATTTTTAAACTAAAATAAAACCCGTCTTTTATTCATGCAGACAGTACAACACAAAAGTTGTTCACATCATGACACTTGATCAAGGTTTTTTTGATCAACTTGATACGTTTTACAACTTTCTTTCACACAAAGAAAAATACACTTAGTTCAAATGTTAAAATGTTAAAACGATTACAATATAAAGAAAACCTCGATGTTTTAGAAATGAATTAAACCATTGAAGCAAAGCGTTTATTCAATAAATCGAAAAGAGCAATTCAAAATGGATTGACTGGGCGAAACCTTCATTCAGGATTAAGTATAGTGCGGAACATGTCTTTTTATCAAATTATATATCATTATACACGAATGTTACGATTATATTATGTCTTGTAGTTGTAATGAAAATGACACATGAATAATTTTATTCGTTAATTTAATTTAGTCTTGTTATTTTACTCCGATATGAACACTTTTTTAGTCATACCTCTGTGGTATTTTCAACTACTAGGTATAATGGATAACTAAACAGTGTCTACGCAAGTGACCGAGAAATGAGAGATAAATATATGTACAAATAACCCGCCGGAGAAATTTCACCTTGCTCGAGGAACGAACTAGCGACTCCCGGATTACAAATTCAATGCTCTTCCTATATTTAGCTTAGTAGGGGAATGTAACTAAAATATGTCCATATGACACGTATGCTTCCCCACCCCCTTATTCCACTGTTTTGACAGTCTATGGACGGAGAGCCTGTCAGGTGAACAATGTGACAGAAGGACGGACGTAAAAAAGGCAATTACGAGGATGAACATACAAACTACAGAGTTAGAGAAAAAAATTGAGAATACATAATTATAGCACACTATAAAGTCACTTATTATTAATAGATTAAACAATATATAGTCTAATGATACTACAACCATGGTTACATATTTATACCATTTCATATATATTCAATTTATGTATTTTGCTTGAATTATAGTAGTAAAAAACAACAACAACAAAATAATACTTCCAAATTTCAAAAAGATTACCAAGAGCTTAATAAGGTAGCATTCAATGTGCCATGAGATTAAGATTATGTATATCTAATTTAAGGAGTTTTTTTTAATATGAAAGTTACAAAATATCAAGTTTATCAGTGGAGTAATAATGCATTTTCAATACATATTCAATATTGGCATATCGGAACTGCTGAAATATTCGGTATAACATACTAACATAATATTGCTGAAGTGTTAATTTCCGCCTAAAAGCAATGAAATACACGACAATGATATAATTTTAACTAAATTTTACACATCTTTTTTAAACAGAAATTCGCGCCACGTGCAAACAGATCGCGCCTTATATCACACATGAATGGAGGAGCGTCTGTGAGGAGCTCGGTGTGGCAGAAGACATTCTGGACGAAATCGAGGCTACACACGTGAACTCCCCGATGTCTGACCTAGCCTTCTGTGGGTTGTGTAAGTGGACAGATATTATAGGGCGTGGCTCATGCCAGGGAAAATTACAGAATGTTATTAAGATGTTTGGACTAAGACGTGCTGGCGGTTAGTGAAGTATATTCTCATTAATTCTCAAAATGACTTCAAATATTAGCAAACATTAAGTTATACAGCTTTATAGCCCTAGTTGTTGACTAAAAGTCTTAAGATATAATGGAATAAATTGACATTGTTGTTTGTTGTACACCAATTTGTAATAAATATGAATGGCAGAAAAATTGGTAGATTTGGCTTTTAATATTTTTAATAAAAGTAATACCAAATAGGAAAAGGTCTTTAAGTGAAATTAAAGAGTATGCTTATAGAGACCAAAGATAATGGTCTTGATAAAACTCGGAGAAAGGAATTATGATTTTAACAAGTTTAAGTCTGTTTTAATTTCAGAACAACTACGGCGTTTGTCTGAAAGAAGAAGTGTTCCCTATATGGGACGACCAGTAACAGTTGCCGTCACACAAGAAGTTTCGGTCAACAAACAAGCTAAACAAAAAGGTAACGTTATGAAAAGATGCACACTAGCCACATACACATTTTGCTGTGGTTGCCGCAAATGTCTCTAAAGATAACATGGTTTGACCTTCGCATGTGTATTTTAAGGAGATTCATATTGTTGGCTCAAGTAAAATAAAGATGTTCCGAATGTACAAAAAAAGTTTAGGCAAATAGACATTACCTCGCATTTTTATATGAGACGTTATGGCTAAACCATATCCGATTGTTTTTAATTGGTAATCGACACTAATTCAGGTATTACTGACACCAAGTAATGTATTACTACACAACACTATGGTATCACCAGCACCCTGTCCGATGTAACTATATGACTGACACTATAGTATTAGTGGTGTCATATTCTGTGTTACTACACGATACTGTTATAACTGTTCCTTGTTACTACAAGCCTCGTTACCGCCCAATGGGCGGATCACCTCGGGACGGATATTCCGATCCGAACTGCAAACATATGTCAGATATTTTTTCATGCATATTCTACCATATTCCATTATATTTTTAATTCTTTATCTTTATTTTCTATGAAAATTTATATCATTACTACCGTAACTACTTTCATTCAACAGCGTATGAATTACAAAATCATTCATAACGGTACAATGACGTCATCTTTATCGTGCAAGTGTACAGCACGCGACTCATCTGGAACCCCCCATGCCAGATGAAATTTCCGGCATGGGTAAAACTAACGAAAACGCCAGTCTGATATGCAAGAAAATATGGTATCACTGAAACGTTAGTCTGCGTTAAGTACACGACACTAAGGTATTACTGGTATCATATTTATACTGCACAACACTATGGTATTATTGGTATCATGGTCTGTGTTACAACACGACACTGGTATCACTGGCATCATGTTCTGTGTTACTAAGTGACACTATAGTATTAGTATTTTTTCTGTGTTAAGTACATGGTACTACAGTATTGTTGATGCCATCTCTGTTACTATACATTACTATGCTATCGATTATTGTCGTATATAGTGGTTATGTGATGTGATACTCGGAACCACATGACACTTTGATAACACTTTTATGATGTCATGTTCTACTGGTATCACGATGTCATCATGTTTCCGTTACCATACGACAACAGCATTATCTATGTTACTATCCGCAATAATGCTATTATTGGTATGTTTTATGTTACTTCAGCGCTTGCTGACCGTTTATCCAGACCAAAATCCAACAGGTCATCGGACAGCGACTCTAGCAAACAGAAAAAGAAAACTACTACGCAAGTCATGCCAGGTGTTAATCCGCTCATTGTCCAAGTGGCTCCGTCAAAACCAACAGACAAGTGTATGTATATCGTTTTACAACTATTACTACGTCCTCCATCGGCGTTTTTTTCTATACATAATTATTATTGTCATTTTAAGTGTCACTTAACTGAAAGGTAACACGTGCTTCTAGTCCTATCACGTGATATAATCTGGGTCCTTGTATCTCTGTACCTAATAATATCAAGTTTTAATAGAACCAAATACAAATTTTTGCAGCAATCTAAAGATTTTAATCTCCCTAACTTTGTCCATTCTGTCTTACCTGTCTAATACTTTGCCCGTTTAAATAACTTGCAATTAATGGATACAGGCAGATAAATGAAACGTTCTTAAATATGTTTTAGGTGAAGTGAAACTGAAGGTAACTGTGAAAGGTGTTCAGCGAATCGACAAAGAAGAGCTTGAACAAACACGTGATGACTTTAAATCTACTAAAGATGATTTTAAAAGCACTTGCTTTACTTTCGTGAAGTTAGTGATAAAAAACAGAAAAGCCCATTTTCACGAGCTAAAAGAACAATTTGGATTCGAGGAAATTTCTATACAAAGTATCAGCCAAGTTGGGTTTAACATTAACATTTTTATTCTCTGCTCTTCATTGGGTGCTTTTGAGATTCTTTATCAAAATTACATATCTGGACGCTTAAAAAAGATAGTTCACAGTACGTTGGTGACACGTGATCACTTGGTTAAGTTAAAGGCGAGACAGCTCGAACTGTCTATAGATATGGAGGACGGAATGGTAAATAAGTACAGGGATATTTTAATAGTTCGTGGACCAGCGGAAGAAAATGTTCTGCACCCTGTTGATGCAATAGAATACTTTCAATGTGATGATGATGAGGACTTGTCAATGAAAGATGATAACAGTCTAGGTATGTCCTTCCTCTAGAAAATTCCTTCTTTCTAGAAAATATAAGATAATAAAACAATCTAATATTTTATTACTTTGGAATATGTAAAAGAATGTTGTAAAAATTGTAAAAACATCATTAACTAGGCGCATGTCCGGATTTTTTTGACATTATCAAAATATTCTTCATACATACCGTGTTAACTAATAAACAAATATAACCTTGGTCTGAATTTTTAGAGAAGTAGAAAAGTTTATTTTTTCTAGATACATTTAATCATTGTTTACCTTTCCTTGCTGAATGCCGTCCTCTATTTTTTAAAGGTGAATTGTGCAATTTCGATTTGAAAACATGGCAGCAAAAACTACGCAGTCAAATTGTAAGAGCGGACGAAAAAATCACAGAATTTGAAGATTCTATCAAAGATTTGTTATTAGTTATTCGTATTGCCAGGAAAGAGGAGACGCCGGAAATGACGTGTTTACAGGATATCATGAACTGCTACCATCATCTTAAATTCAGCAAAAGTGTAGTCGCTCAAAGTTCCCGCAGCAATGTTGTTTACACATATTTGGCTATTGTAAATTTCATACGCATAATTGTTCAAGAAATAGGTGAAAATGCACTTCCTATTTCATTTGATGAAACCCTAGATCCTAACGCGTGTGACACGTTCCATCGTTTACTCGCGCAGCTAGAGGGTATGCTTCATCCGGGTTACTTGTTTGAAAAAGATGAAAACGTTACAAACACACACGTGATGACAGGTTTAGAGAAGGAAATGTTTGGGTCGTTCTTATGTTATTTGCCAAAACTGTTACGACTCCTACATAGTTTATGTGATACACTTACAGTCACTACAAATGCAGACGATATCGCGGACAATGAAAGTTGTTCCGAAGCTAAGGATCAGAATGATTCAGGTATAGCTCTATCAAAAGAAGAGAACAACAATAGTGAGAATATTGAAGACAAGAACAGTGAAACGCAATCTGATGATTCAACATGTGATCAGGTCCCTGCTGATAAAAGAAAACGAGACGAAGAACTCGGTAAAGCACAAGTCATCAACTACGTACAGACATGGACGCAACCTATATAAGTTATGGTTATATTAACAATATAAATGCACGTGTGCTATGTGGAAGAAAGGATGGATGCAGTTAAATATTCGCCATTTTAAATCTTGTGGATACATATATTTGATAAAAAGGGGTTTGAGTATGATATAGTCTTCCTATGGGAACCATTATAACTGACGTGCATGTCTGTGCTTGCGGAAAACGGAAAAAAATGATTTGCATTTTCTCCAGACATCCGATTTATCATACACATTATTGCAGTTTTCCTGAGATTGCTCGAACAATATTTTAGATAAAATGACTATTGAACAATACGTTTTCAATTTTTGTTAAAGAAAACATACCAATTAACTTACTTATAAACAAGTATGAAAATATTTGGATTTTATTTAAATAAAAATGGACGAAAATGTAATAACATTTTTCAAATTTCAACAATCTTTTCAATAAAATTGATATGGGGTGATGTTTTGTTAAGACGAGGCTCAGATTTAAAGCGATAGTTAACAAGCGCAAATATCTAAATCAAGGGATACTTAAATATAACTCTGATGAATCTAAAAACAATATATTTATTTCTGCAGTTCAGCCTTTCATTCATTTGATTTCACCAAATAATGTCAACCATGTTGTCAATATGTATCATGTATTAAAATTAAATCTCAAGACGTATTTTTTTTTTGCTATAAGCAAACAATCTTGTGTAATTTATACCAACATTTCCTTACCAGTATGTTTTGGACGAAACTCATTGTCAGTGTTTTTTGCGATGTAATATTTCACCATATCAGTTTGTTTTGAAACAAACAAGTCCAAATATTTAAACTATTATGTATCACTACATTTAGTTTTGTCGGAAAAGTAAGTCCTTGTCTGATGTAGTATACAGCAGTTCATTTTTGATAAGGATTTATCAAGACTTTGTCGATATATTTCTACACTCTATAGCACTTTTTATTTTTATGATATGTTATTTCAACAAAATAATAGTACGTACATTACAATACAAATGTATATATGGATTGTAAAGTAAGGAAAGTACGTTTCCAAATTCTTTTTCATGATGCAGTTTCGTCAGCACAGCTTCATGAAATATGACCGATAATATTCAGTCTTATTTAAAGGTATTCTCAGAATCAGTGTTCCGAGATCTTTTAACGTGCTCATTGTACCAGAAGACAAACGGACCTTCAGTGAACTCACGAGTAAGTTATGACTGTGTCTCACGTCCGATGCTTGTATCTAGGGTATTTTTCACACCCATTCATAAAATACCTCACTAAAAGTCGTATGATAACCAATATGACATTTTAAAATATTTTAGAAATAGAAAATATTCGGATCTACCAGTTTTAAAAAAGAAACCCAAATGGTAAAATAAAAACAAAAGAATTTAAGCCACTAACACTTTACATTAGTATATTGCTTTATTAAGAATAAAAAATAAGTAAAAAATAATAAACATGTACAGCAGGAAAGCATTTTATATACATATTATATATAGTTACAACACATTGCGAACAGATAATGTAGGTTTATGATTAAATGCGCCACATTATAAAGTGTAATTATCGAAATGTTAACCGGGGAAAAATATTGTATAAAATTCCGTTTCGGACATGCGCCATTGTCCATATGAAAACTTCACTATGAAGCATATAACCACAGAACAAGCGTTTTACACATTCTTGTACATGTATCATATATATCGTATATGTTTTAAACAAAATCTAGTAAAAATGATCGACAGGGCATAAATATTTGATCAATCGAAAAAAATGTTTATTAAAATAACTTGAATCTGAACTGATATCTTTTATAAGACCGGAACCGGAAAACCTTGGTGTTGACAAATATTTTACAACCTTTTTAGGTAAGTAACTTTGATTTCCGACTAAAAGCTTCTTTACATCTTTATTTTCCAGCATATGACCTCAACTCTTTAAGCCTCGAGAGAAGGTTTTGGTCATACAATAAAACAGATAAACTATTTTTAACCGTCCTGTCGTTTAACAGCCTATCTAAGAAGATAATATTCTATGGCAGTTCTATAGCAGTTTTTTTAAATTTTATTTAGAAGTTAACTTTTATTATTCCTTTAACTTGTAGAGCTGACAACATGACGTATATAACCCATAATGATATCAGGAATATTCCGCAAATTATTTTGGGAACTTGTGGTCCTCCTAGCTCCGCACGACCAAACAAGGGGACGTAACGTCGAATCAAGAGAAGACTTAGAGCTATAAACGCACATACACTGTAGATGACGACACTAAAACCAAGTGACCCTGCCGGATAAGCAAATTCCTGGCCCTGGAATGTACCAAACCAAAATTTTTATAATTGAAAAACAAAATAAAAATTATTTTACAAAAAATTATGGTTGCACAAACACCAATCCCAACAATAAAACACAAGTTTAAAATTACTTATTGAAATGTTCCAAATTTGTAGTAAAGAGTTATTATTACACATGCACAAACGATATGTGATAAAATGAAAATGAAATATTGTTATAGAAACAGAATTTTACAAACCTTTGCTGCCCAGTAAATGCTGGCAATTGTCCACGGAAGTCCTAGACCGAGGAATACATTCACCGAGTTACTACCGTTAACATTCCCCACCGAACTGTCTGCAGTCTTCTCCATTAGAGCTGCTGTCTTACTGGCGAATGTGTCCGGCATACTCGTTCCCAATGCAACAAAAGTGATAGCAGTTATACTATCTTCAAGGCCAATTAAACATCCAAATGTTCCCGCCAAATCGTTAATGATTGTTGTAAGAAGTCCGATAACACCAAGAGACAATAAGAAGCATGGCCAGCCACCCAAATACTTTGCAGGGGGGACAAACGCAAAAATCAACTGAAAATATAGCAGTGAATTTTATTAGTATATCGACATTATGAAATTCATAAAAAAGATATATATATGTATGTTTCTTTAAGCACTCTTTCCTTTATCATATGAACTTTTTCAATAAACAAATCGAAAGACAAATGTACATGTATTTAACGGCCGGTTCTACTTTTTTATATCACATTTTTTTTACTTACTTTCCATCCGAATGTAAAGAAATGTAGAACATAATCGAGAAAGGTTGCACTTTCAATGTCACCTCCATTCACATTCATTGCTTCTTTAAATTGATCTACCCATCTATGAGACTGAAGCGCCATGGCTCCCACGTTAGCCTTAGTCATGTTCAGTAAACGACTTACAATGCCATCAAACTCTGAAACATAAAGTGTTTGTTATTGATGAATGCTAGTTATCGTAAACGACTTTGAAATGAAAACATTCGATATTTTGGAATTAAAATATCTTTAAAAAGTTTAGCATATACTCGTATACAGTCACAATATATATAAAAACATATATTTCACAATGGACGATCAATTTAAGTGATTTATCTCATGTTCCACTAGAATGTTGTTGAATATGTTTAAAAACAATAAGGTGGATATGCGCAAAGAACTATAATCTTTTTGTAAATATCTAGTAACAAGGGTGCCATAGTCACAAAATACGCCCGTTTACGAAAAAGCTTTAGATGGAGATGGGGGCATTATGGATAAGTGTTATCTAGCAAGCAAGTTTTTATTCTTGGCACTGTGTTGTTAAATGAACCTTAAAACAAATCAATAGGGAAGATATGCACAGAATGTGTGACATTGACCTTGGTCGCAGGGACCTGAATTTTATGCACGGCACTCAGCCTCACAATGATGAACATTTGTGCCAAATTATATTGAAATCCCTCTATGCATGTAGAAGTTTTGCTCCAGACAAGTGTTTTTCTATGAGCTCTAACTGTGACCTTCACCTTTGACCTAGAGACTTGGTTTATGTGCAGGGCACTACGTCTCATGGTGGTGAACAATTCTATAAAAGTAACATTAAAATTCCTCCATGCATGTAGAAAATATGCTCCGGACAACATCTGGATATTTAATCATCTCCAGTGACCTTGACCTTGCAAATATTAACCTAAATTAAATGTGTAACACCTGTAGTCATGATAGTTACCATTTGTGCTACAATCCATCAATAAATGATGACTAAATGGTCCCTATAACCATCTTCAAATTTTTATCTGAACTTTGACCTCTATGTGTAACCTTGACTTTGGTCGCAGGGATCTGAATTTTGCATGCGACACTCAGCCTCACAATGGTGAACATTTGTGCCAAGTTATATTGAAAACCCCCTATGAATGTAGAAGTTTTGCTCCGGACAAGCGTTTTTCAATGAGCTCTAAGTGTGACCTTGACCTTTGACCTGGAGACCTGGATCATGCATGGAGCAATACATATCATGGTGGTGAACATTTCCATAAAGTATTATAAAAATTCTTCCATACATGTAGGAGATATGCTCCAGACAAAATCTGGATATTTCACCATCTTTAGTGACCTTGACCTTGCATATATTGACCTAAAGTAACATGTGGCACAGCCGTAGTCATTATAATGACCATTTGTGTTACAATCCCTCAATAAATGATGATTAAATCGTCCCTATACACATCTTCATATTTTTATCTTTTTTTAAACGGGCGTATAAAAAGAAGTACATGTAATTTAATAACTAAAAAATTCTGATTTTAGATTTTATTCTAGGGAAATACATTTCATTACAATTCTTAATCTTTGAATGAGCTGAACTGATATTTACTTGAAAATTAAAATATAATTAAATTTCTATGAGAAAGTATTTACATTTGATAAGGTAATTACTGTATGATCTTTGTGAACAAATACCAAGTCTACAGAACACCATAGTTATCACAGTTAAGAATCTTGACCAATGAATGAAACATGTGTAAATAAATGTTACATTCTTTAGAACATACTCAAGTCCAAGAAAGAGGATTATTTCATGCCCTTGATTAAATTCTATTTTTAGAATTGAAAGTGAAAATAGATCAAGGGGAGTAATTGTGTAAAGTCATTTATGAACAAAGTAATAACTTTGTTGTCTCCCTTTGATTAAATTCTATTTACAAAATCTGGATATTTCATCATCTTTAGTGACCTTGACCTTGTATATATTGACCTAAATTATATGTATCAAAGCCATAGTCTTGATAATGACCATTTGTGTTACAATCCCTCAATAAATGATGACTAAATGGTCCATATACACATCTTCATATTTTTATCTGAACTTTGACCTCTATGTGTGACCTTGACCTTGGCCGCAAGGACCTGAATCTTGCACGCGACACTCCGCCTCACAATGGTGCACATTTGTGCCAAGTAATATTGAAATCCCTCTATACATGTGGAAGTTTTGCTCCGGACAAGCATTTTTCAATGAGCTCTAAGTGTGACCTTGACCTTTGACCTAGAGACCTGGTTCATGTGCGCGACACTGCTCCTCATAGTGGTGAACATTTATATGAAGTTTCATTAAAATCCCTCCATACATGTAGGAGATATGCTCCGGACAAAATTGGACGCCGCCCGCCCGACCGCCCGCCCGCCCGACCGCCCGCCCGCCAGGGGCGTTCCCATAATACGTCCCGTTTTTTCAAACGGGCGTATAAAAAAACATTTAGAAAATTCCAAGGCTTATGATAAAAATAAGACTATATGAAAAAATTAGCACCATCATTCTGTGAAAAAAATAACTTTAACATCCAAAATATATAAAATGTATATCCTGCGGAGTTACATACCATCATCGTTTACAATAGTAACAATGGTTTTCTTGATCTTTCCTAGCTCAGCACCGCCGTCACATTCGCCAAGTTCAATAGCAAAACATTCATCGCGTTCCTTCTTCTGTATACCAGAAATTAAATAAACGATGGTACATTTATAAAGATCAAAATCTTAAAAAATGTGCTATTAGAAATAGGAATCGTTTCTAGTGTCGTGCCTTATCGTATCTAGAAATATCGAACATTTGTTGACGGGATAAAGTATGGAAAGTCTAACAAAATTAATCTGACACATTGCACTAGCTAAACTATCAAACCTCATTACAACAATGTAGTTTTAAATGGTGAATACAAATAAGAAAATAAAGAAAAGATGGCTTAGCAAATTAAGGTAAGTTTATTGAACTAGAAAATGTTGAATCAAACAGTTTAAACGCCCAAAGTTTCACAATTTAAGTGTAAAACTTACTTCAATGAAATCGAAAGAAAACTTACATTGCTTGGAAATAGCGGGATATCGATATTTTTGGAAATTTCTTGGTTGTCAAACAACAGAACTCCCTCTTTTCCTTCAAAATCTTTTCCTTCTTTAGCGGTTATGTCCGTGGTCTTCCACTTAACACTCACATGACCATCACATCCATTGACACGGTTTACAGGAACACGCGCAGTATAATAGCTTTCTTTAACAACCAAACTTGGCTTTGCAAATTCCAGTTTTCCCGGTTCTGAAAGGTACAATTCATTCAGTGGTGAAATGAAGTATGTACAAGTAATACTTACATATGTATTAATAAATATTTACTGAATTTGTATCAAGTTATTTAAAAAAACAGCATTTTAAAAAGGATAATGAAGAATCATTAAAATGGTCAATTTACTCCTTGTTGAAACACATTTGTTTTTAAGGTAGAGAATAATATTTACCGTCGTCGTTTATGATTGTGACCTGGTTTATAGAGATGTTTCCTAAGGCAATATGCTCGTGACTTCCATCTTCCTGTTTTACAACATGTAGTTTGACGAAGAAAAACTCATCCGGTTCCCATTCACAATCATCAACAATCTCAATAAAAACTTGACGCAATTCCTCGTTCTTGGCAAATGTTACATTCTCGCAAAAATGCTTATAATCTTCGCCAGCCAATGCAGTTCCGTTGATTGTTTCTACCCTATTAATGAATATTATACATTACAAAATACCCCTCCTTTTCTATATTAAAAGTCCCAGCCTGACCGCCTGAGCGGGCAATATTATGTTTTTATCGGACCGCTAAAATTAAGTGGTGTGTTATGGAGAGAGAGGTTTTACAAAACGCGCAGAATACAAACTGAATGAAAAAAGTGTTCAGTACAATTTACTTGAAATGTTTTGTTGTTGTTGTTGTTTTTGTTGTTGTGGTTAATTTACACAGTATGATTTATTTTCTTGTGATTTCACTATTTGTTCTAGTAAAGTGTGGTATAATATAAGAAATAGTACACATTCCTTCAGACCTCATAGTATTATAGCGGCCACCCAGTTTGCCCAAAACATTGAACAAGATTCAGTCATCGGCTTCGGTCTTATAAATGTTTGCGGGCTGACTGATCGGTCACTTTAATGCTATAAGGCCATGAAATAGGCAGTATATAATGAATCTGTAGTTTGTTCTTATACACGCACGATTCATTAATATAATTAAATGTACTCTTCAGGTAAAATCACAGACATTAAAACTGGTGAAATGTTAGAAGTCGAGACATAATAATCATAATCTGGGTTCAAATCTTGAGAAAAAACTGCCTTGTACTTAAAAAAAAGCTTGTCATGGTCTCCATATAACTTCAAACTGTACATATTTACTTAAATCAAGTGCACTTTTTTGTTCAAGTTCAGATATTCAGACTTACCTGACGGTACAGGGAATATCTTTCTTGCCATACCGGCGAATTCCGAGCCTGACCTTTCCTTCATTCTCCAGTACACTGACGGCAGCCGCTGTAAACTCTACAACAGCCTTCGTACCTCCTGCAGTGTGATCCTTAGACTTAACTGATATATCCTTATCCGCACGTTCTTCTTCAGTTAGCTTTGTATTATCGTAAAGCTTAAATGACAAAAGCATATATTTAATATGCATGTAAATCATGAGCAGTGCTTTATACACAGATGATTCATATGTGTCCATTATTTAAGCTATTTTTAAGGAAACTTTATAGGTAATCATATATGTCATATCGGAAATGGAATTATAGCTTTAAGCTATTTTATTGCACTTTCAATTTTATTGTCTAAAAGCTCAACGGCTCAATGCCTTTAACACATTGTATATTTTATGCATGCGTATATAATTAATTAATACATTTACAGCCACTACTGTTGAATATAATCTAATAAGCGTATTTGGATTAAATGATAATAAAAAATGTATGTTAAACTAATTATCAAATGACATCTTTTATTTTATAGCTTCGGACTTGTATGATGTATAAGAATGCTAAAGTACTTCAAAGCAAAATTAACAACATCAATGTTAACATTTAATTAATCAACTATATTAGCATCACAGCACACTAGCAACACGTTGGATGTCTGCAAGACGACAACGACAACAATTACAACAACAAACTTGCGCTGGCTGGACAGTCAACTGATGATAAATTACATCATGCAAGCATTCTTAGGTAACCAAGTGCTATAATTCATGCCAGTAAAACAACAAACTCATCATACTCGTTTCTATAGTTAACAAATATACCAGAAATCTGTAAACATTCTTGTACAAGTGTACTTAAATTGAGCTTCTGCTAAAATATTTCTGCTCATTTATTGGTAACAATTTCTAGGTAATGGATGGAAATTATTTCAAGGAATTTTTCTTTAGTATTCTAACAATCTAATTTGTACTCTTTTTTAATCAGCGTAAAGGTTTTGCATATAACATACATACAATTAATGAAGACAAACTTTGTTGGTCTATCTGATTTATTCATTAAACTTTGGATATTCGCCTTCTATTGTATAGTAATAAAGGTGTTAAAGTGAATGTTTTGTTAGTAATCAAAGAAGGCAGTGTTGAGATTGGAGGAGTAGGAGGCCAATGTGAAGATGGAAGGAGAAGGCTCAAAGAAGTTGTAGATTAAAGCTCTGTTTACCATCTAAGATACATTTTGTTAATGCACACGAATGTGTTGCTGCTACTCAATGCAAATTTAACCGAAGTGACGCAACTTAACAATCAACTAACAGTACCCGGGTAGACTTGTTGATACTTGGTTAAAAGCAACAATGATACTGCTTTTTTTTCAAAATGCATCATATGAGCAAGGTGCATGTGATGAGGAATCTTACATTGTTAGAGGAAACACAAACAAAAGGAAGATGCAAGAAACAGAAAACAGCACAAAGGAACAGCACAATTTAAGAAGTATCACATGTTAAAAACTTAAAAAGATTACAGATCTACAAAATCAGCTGAACTAAGTAACACAGTATTTATATAAAGTAAGATACTTACAAAATGTTTTGTGTTATTTTAGGGGATGAAAATAAAACAAAACAATGTTATCAGCTAATATACAAGGAAGATTAATAATTTATGACTGACATACTATATGGGTTGTCAAGTTATATACATTATTTCTTGTTAAAACAACATCTCTCTCAGAACTTGAAATGACACTAATACAAATCAAATTCCATGACGGGTACTTGCTGGGAAATAATATAATAGTATGTTTCATGTATCTTGTACAAATGATACATACTAACGCCAGTGATTTATCTCCATTTTAGAAGAAATTTAGTTTTTGTATTGACCAAAGAAGGTAAGATTTCCTGAAATAGGTACTAAGTTGTATATTTCTCATAAAATCTTGTATTATTTATTTGTAAGATAAAAATATACATGTATATAAGTACTATAACAACTTTGTTGCCCTTTCACATTAACAGTAAACATTGATTTACAGCTTGATTGCATTAATGTATGTGCATATTTATCAAGTTTAATATCATCCTTTATACAGGTGTATCTATCATAGCAACACATAATTATCTATCAATGTCATTGTTTCTATATATAAACAGCAAATAAATATACATATATTAGTTACAAGCGAACTGGAAACTTCAGGCACAAATAAAGCTTATTTTATGCCGTGATTGACGTTTCCTTCAATATCACTATCCCTATCCTAAACCAACCAGCGTGAAATATCATATCGTTAAACATTAGTTATCTCATGCATTTTACTATATACGCTACAATATCTTTCAATGACATTTGAAGGCATACATTGCTAACATAGAAACACAAACCGGCATGTTAAAAATCAAATTGAATGTTAGAAATATACAAATGTATCTATAACTTAATATTTATATTTAAAAAAGAAAACATGTTCAAATACCTTTATACAAATGACGCTAAACTTTGCCTCAATAATCAATTTCATTTATAATATAAATGACAAAGCTGTAAATGCAAAAGCTGTTCACTAAAAAGAATTAATGAAAAAGCAGTCAACAACATATCATAACCTTACACAAGCAGGTCCTATATTTAGCTTTCCATTCTTCACATTGTTGCACTTAATCTTGAATGCATTAATTTTACAAATTTTTCGTTCCAATTAATGCTTACCTCTTGAAAATTGGACATCACTTTTGGAATAAGCTTCCTTCCACCAGTGAGCATGCGCGTTGCATTGATCCGGTACCATCCTCTGTCATGTGACTGTCCCTCATTCATTCTGGCGATTGCGATTTTAGCAGCTTCAGATTCCGGTATATCGCCATCACGGACCTCCTGACCTAGAGTCTGCAAACATATGATATGTTTCATTATGTTTCAGATAATAATCTTATATCAAAAATTTTAAGCATATGAATCCCAGAATCAAGGTGTTTGATATGTAACATGCATTTCATATAACAAAATAAAAGTAATATAACTGATAGTCAACTAAACGAAAGTATGTAGTTTATAAAAAAATATTTATGCTTGAAAGCATGAACTTTAAAGTAACATCACCAGCTTATTGACCATTCATCGGTTATTTCATTATTATTTAAAATGTCTTACTCTTGCAAGTTTATTCAGGTCACTGTCTGCGTCCCTTGTCTTTAAGGGCTCGTCACCATCACCGCTCACTGAAACAACAAAAAGTTAACTTAATACATCAATCTCTTGTAGCTTCTTTAATATTATTTGTATATATGGTATATCAATAGAAATAGAGAAGAAGGAAAAAAAACAATTCAAATTATAGTCGGACTGAGCACAAGAACATGGTCATCAGTTCTTTGAGATGTCAAATCAGGTGAAGCCTAATATCGCCAGTAAACGCTGCAAGTTTAGTATCAAACTATCGAAGTAAAGTATCTCGAAGTATAAAATTATCGAAGCAAAAATGTTGGAGTAAAGTATCAAATAATCGAATTATCACAGTAAAGAATAAAATAGTCGGAGTAAAAAATTAAATGTTTTGGAGTAAAGTATCAAAATACAGGAGTATCAAATTATCAGAATTAAGTGTGAAATTTTCGAAATAATCACTAACTACACAATTTGATTATATACTAAAATATAGAATATATATGTATATTAGCAATTGCGAATTAAGGAGTTTCTGATGCTAGTATGTTAAAACAGTATGTTGTTATTAGATTATTTCAACCAAAGCTGCAAGCTTAATCCTCCATTCATACACATGGCATCTATTTATAACTTTAAAAACTGGTTTACGTTACACAACTCTATACTCCAGTGGTTAAATCTCATAATATATTCTCAAGATGATATAAAATTCAATTTAAAAATATATCGTTTAAACGCCTACATTATCTAAAGGTGCGCAAATTTATTTGAAAGGGATTATAACAAATGGAAAACGCCTCTACGTGATGTCATACTATTGCCTATATCAGCATTTTTTAAAGCAGAAAATGAAAATGCAATCTATAAACAACTATTCATTCTCTCTATGCGACTAAACGCAAATAAGATACTTGATCAAGGAAAAGCAAAAATGAAATTCTACTAAGACGCTGCGATTAAAAAAAAAGGACTGACGTTTTAATGCTTTTGACAGTTGAAACGGTTTTGATACAGATTTAACATATGCACTGGTATTTTTGATTCATTTATTACTAACGAAAACTGTTCGCACATGGCAACAAGTTGTTGTACCGCATCTAATGTTGCTATTTACTAAGAATATACAATTAGTGTGATATGTGGTACACTATATGCCTGAACCCTATGCGTGTGCTTTTATTACTACATGTGTAGTATACACTCGGCACCTAAGCTTATTGGCCCAGGTGTTATATGGCTTAAGCACCTGACCAGGATGTGCGGCCACTTACTAGTTTTGTATTTGCGACCTTGACCGCCAAGTTCACTCTTTAACAAACCTGACGATGGTTCGGCCTTCTCTGCAAGTCATTATTAAACATAAGAAAGGTTTACGAACAAAAATTATTAGTTGGTTAAACATTGTCCCAGCCCAACATTAACTCCTCTAGACTTTGTCAGTCAAAGCATGCACTTACTTCCCTTGAAGCGTAAGTTTACATGTCTGTGTAGCATGCAAGTATATAAATATATATAACCGTAATAAAATGTAGGTAAAATGTGTCTTTATCTAATGTAAACTTGTCACCAGTTGTTGCACGCCCGGATTGCCTTAAGTCCATCACTATTACTTCATATTTCCAGTAACAGTACAACAATTTTTAACTCGATTTGGCCAGTGTATTAACATGCAAGTGTCAACAGGTTTTGTGCATTTTGGCTACATGTCTCAAAGCGCCTTAACCTATGCGTTAATGTAATAATATAGTATTTTTGATAATCGTCATAATAGAGTATTTAACATTTATTTTATCATGTTAGAAAAAAATCTTAGTTCATAAAATGAAATGTAACACTAGCACAATTAACTATTTTCATTTGATATTATTACGCATTATACTTAAATTAATCCAAGCTTTTACACGTTACTATTACCTTTTACACGTTACTATAATATCCTTGTATTAATTTCCACGTTATTAGAATTTTTCGCCGGTTAATAACCCTCACTTCGTTCTAGGAACAATTAAAACTACCAAACATTTACTGTGTCATATCTCGTATTTATTTTATGCTATAACAAGTTAAATCGCACGTACCAATTTTTTTTCAGTAAATATTTTTTACGCGGTGCAATTATAATGATACGGGCAGCAGGAAATGTTTATATAATAAGCTCTGTATGATAGATGATAAGCTCTGAGGGGCATGGTGCTGTCATATGGTTCATTTCACTCAACAAAAATGTGTCTAGGTATTTCCATGAAACATAGCGCAAACATAATAGAAAATATAAAACATGTATAGGATACATAAGAACATTAAAACAATCCAAGAGCACATATAGCAAGCAGTGAACCAAAACATCTTCTGGCTGTCTTTCATAATTTACCTTCGTACTTCCGACCGCCCTTATTGTCTGTAGAAATAAAACATTAACACTTGACATTCAGTTCTGATTTATATATGTTGTTAATAGACCTACCTTTCATTAACCCGGCTAATATATTTCATTATCGAAAAATACACTACCCTTGCCGTATTATTATTTATTGATGTAAAATACAAGTTGGTTACGTGTATACGTCATTACGTTTCAGAGCATCAAGTTTAAATATAAAACTCAAACTTTATTCTGATACATGGACTCAAGTGATACCCTTTACCATCCAGCCATGCAACCATCGTATGAAGTAATGTAGATAAAAGGATATTGGTTAACCACAGGCTTCTACTCTCAATATTCTTAGTTGATTCGGATATGATTGAAGTACACAATATTGAGCCCATATCACGCTTGATATCTTAAATTGACTTGTCTATCTTTAAATCTTGACAAAAAATTTTATCATTTGTAGGAAAAAAATAAAAAAAGTAGTGAATGACCAGCGAACAATGCAGACCATGATCAGACGGTGCGAATGTGCCGGTTTATCTTGGTCTGCAGTTGTCGCATTGGTAGATTCAGCTGCCGCTAACAGACTAAGGAATATATACTGTCTGCAACCTGGTTACTTGTAAAATGTTTTTAAAAAATCACAAGATTGCTATAAAGTGTCTTTATGTTAACTTTACAGCTCTTATCTATATGCATTTATAAAGTCAAATGGAATGGAATGGGCGACGTGCCATTTTCCTCTATGATACGTAAACAGAAGAGGTGTGGGCCTTGGTTTTTCCACTTGACACACAGAAAATAATGAGAAAAATTTGTAGGTATCCCAGTTAATTTTTTATATTCGACCTTTTTAATTTCACGTACAGATATTCATATGTTACATTTAACATATACTAAAAACCTTTAGTGAAAATACTGTTACAATATAACAATTCTCTGATGGCTTGCAGACATACGATTGCAACAGATCATGGTCATTTATTTTTGATGAATGCATGAAGGTTTTTTTACTCATATAACTAGGTAGCCTCATCGCCATCGCAGTAATAATACCATGATATACGTTTATTGATCACAAGCAATCTTTTGCTCTCAATTTCATTCTCAAAACAGGAAATTTCATTCTTCTCCTTTTGTCAATAAAAAATACAATTATCACAAAGGAACAGTTAGGTCTAGTATTTGTTCTATATTGTTTGGTCTGGTTTTACGGCGCAAAAACACAATTTAGGTCGTATGGCGCCGAAGCAGGAAATATGATTTTGGCAAACCTCGGGTGTTACAAACACCAGGGGTCAAACCACATCAGCCTGCTGGGGCTATGTGATGCATAGACTCCAGTAATGCGAATCCATTTAGTTTCCTTTTACAATCACGCACGGATAAACGGTAGCTGCAATTCCGATGCCTCAATCTTTAAAGGTAACCCCACAGCCACAAGGGGATTTAGGTCCAACAAAAATACCACAATGACTAAAAAACTGTATCTTGCAAACCTAAAAGGAACTGGTTGTTTAAAACAACATTTTCAGTAAGTTTACCCTGGTAAAATCTAAATGCAAAAGGAATATTAAATTCGAAATGTGTGACCGTTTGCTGATAAAGATAATGTATAAACAGACTGCAAGGTTCTCGTTGTTTAATCATTTCATAGTTCAAATTTCCCATGAGATGATCAACTAAAAGGCCTTTCTAGTGTACATAGTTACATGCAAACTGGCTGACTGTGCAATCCAATTGCTGCACTGGTATAAAACATAATCACTGGTTTGACCTGGATTACACAAAACAACACATGGTTTTGTTTGTGCAGTTGAACTAGCAATGAGTATAGAAACGTAGAGGGCTAAATGCTTTGCGTTCATTGAACGCCACCTTTCCTTGTTGGTCTTGTTTGTCATATTTTACTGCTAAAGACTAAAAAGGTCAATGGTGGACAACCTCGGGCGCCAAATGATCTTAGAATACAACCTCGTGCTATAGTGACGTAATAAACTAGCAGTTATAGGTCGCCTCCACATGTTTGTATATACTATTTTGTTAGCATGCAAGAAGCTTTCATTGAGCCCCTTTCACACCTGTATATATCATACAAACTACATTTGTAAATATTACATAGCAGTTTCAGTTTTTTATATTTATATCTTAATATATAAAGTAATAAATTTAAATGCTGAACAAATATACAATGTAGTTTAAAAAGAATACGATATATATATTTAATGACTTGATATATAAGTTTCTGTACAATACACTTAAGATAATGCATGCGTTTTATAGTCTGAATACGTTTTGAAATTCGTTAAGTACATTAAATGGACAGACAAGAGAAATGTAAGTTAGCTAGTTTTGTTAATGAACGATTGACTTACCGAGTGCAAATCCGACCATGCCTTCTGCATGTTCTTCCTTTTTGCCCAAACAGAAGTTCCTGTCAGCTAAATATGAGATGAGAATGAGGAGGGGGAAGAAAACCAGTGTGACCACGCCCTCCCATATTTCTACTCTGTTAGGTGATGATACCATCAGTACAATCGCCATCCACACGTACGCAAATATACAGGTGAACCCAGTGACGAAGAACACCTTGATCTCTTTGACACGTCGTGTATCTGGCGATGGAATTGACATCACGCAAATACCAGAGATAACAAGTAGGTTAAATGCTGCAGAACCTACGATGGTACCTGGCCCGAGTTCTCCCGCCTTGAACCCATTTCCTACAGTCTCTATTATTGAGAGGAGTATTTCCGGTGCGCTGGTTCCTAAGGCAAGCAGACTGAGATTTGCTACTGTATTGTTCCATACTTTCACTTCCATCTCCCGGTAACCACCTTCAGATTCCGCATCAGCGATTCTGACAGTTGTTGTCTTGCTAGTGATACGTTCAATGGAACACATAAATACATCTGCTATGAGGGCTACAGCCATGAAGATCCATAGTAATCCAAGTAAATAAATAAACGCACGTCCTCCTGTACTCCATGTATACTCGCTGACCAATGGTAATAAGAGTCCTTTAGTCGAACACAAATAGTCATTGAGATCAACCGTCTCGTTGCCGATAGTAACGTGAGACGGCATCTTGAAAGTTTAAGCTACTTTTGTTCTTTAAATAAACCTAAAATAGAAAAAAAAGTATATTTTAATGATGACATTTAACAAATTTTACTCTTCTGCTCAAGTACAACTTCTTTTGGTCCTATAGATCGTGCTTTCATGACAATATACAATGTAGTATACAAAACTTTTTTTTATTTTTTCATATTTTTGTTCTTATTTATTATTCAGTGTATCTATAACTTTACATATCGCTGTAGTAGATGTATATCACACAGATTATTTGATTCCGGATTATATAATGTTACAGTAAACAGACATTTTTACACCCATCTCAATGCATTAAAACTTAAACCTACTATAGCTGAGAGAATATTATAACATAAGATGTTTACAAATTATGTTCAGCATCACACAATATAAAACATTACATATCATTGTTGGTGAAGTAATTTCCCCTGAGTATAAGTAGTTACACAGAGTAGAGGATATATTATTGTTCATAAAACATCAAAAGATATTGATGTGAGAAAACAGCGTAAAACTATACCTTTAGCCATACAATAAACCAATGTTATGTTTTTGTCGGAGGAAACGCGCATAAATACCACTTAAACACAACTGTGGCGATAATAAAGTTATTGTTAAGGACAAGGGGGGTTTACCTTTCTCTTTAAAATAACTTAACATCCTATGACGTAGGCTTTCTTATCGCATATTCATTTACAAAAAAGAGAGGTAAGAAGGAAAATAATTCAGAAATCCCCTCACAAAATGACCCACTATCAGTCGTTGCCTTATAAGGTAAAACACATATTAAAGCAAAGACGTGCTATCAATACCTTGTCTATATAAACATGCCCCCCTCCTCCCACTACAAATGCACTAAAACATTATTTCATTTACATATAACTAGATCTTTTAAAGGTATTTCAAACAACTCTCCCCAAACATTTAAATGGTTCAGTACACAAAGTAACATAAAAAGCAATTCATATTTTGCGAAAGTGATGGTCGCTTTTATTGTGTACTTAAAACATATACTTAAAAAGTAAAGTGCATGCATGTGACCGACGTCTGGTAAAGTAGGTATAACTTATATTTTTATGTATTTTTCTCGTGTAGACATTGTCAAATAACAATATTGCATGTCCTTGGTACATTATCTCCACCAGAGATTCTGTTATAACACAGCAGTTACATTACTTTCTCTAATAATTGAATGGTTAAAAGATGTGACACATGCAGTAGGCAAGTCCGGGAAATTATTCAGAGTCTAGAATCAATAAATGGATGTATTTATGATTCAGATTCAGCGTAAATAGTATAATTTAGTATGTCATGTGAAAGGAACCAAAGAGGAGCACGTTCAGAAATTATTGCGTTTTCGTAGGGAAAAAACAGTACATTTGCCAAGAGACAACATTATCATAAGATACAAAATATAACGCCTGAAAATAAAAGTTAAATAAGTGCATATATATATAACTGATAATAAAACATGTACGTTGATATTCATGATTATTTCTTCCTAGTTTATGACTGTTAGGTTTGTGTCATTTTAAAACATTTTAATGTTGAGCAAATACAGATGGTATTCCAAGTTTAAATCAAACATGTAATGAGTCATGCGGCAATTTTATCACTCATTTAAATACAATGTCACTAAATCAATATACACATCAATCAATTGGATGGAAACTCTTGTACACAACGAATGTAAATATTAATGGAGAATTAATTATAAATACAACAACATAAAGTAACCCTGATAATATTAATAGTGTATGCTATTTTTCGTGTATGTGCTACAATAAAATAAAACTACGGACAGTTCATCAAGAAGTTGAGATTATTCTTTATTACAGGCTCATCAAGAATGAATGCAGTTAGACATATTTCAACGACTGCACAATATTATCCCTAGTAACACAAACATTACCAATTATTTAGGTAGACGTAAATGATTACTAACAGAACCAGGAAGACTGTCGGTGCGTTATGTAATAAAATGTTACACCTATATTAATTAAGTAAAATAATTTATTCACCTTTGTAAAAGTAACATTCCATTATAAATCTAAAATTCGCATTTCTATAACTATTTTACAGCAAGTCAGGTAGAAAATAAAGTCAACACGACAATAACAATTTAAGCTATGCGTTTTCGTTATTTGCAATATAGTAAATATATGCAATATCGAGTTCCCTTGGGCTTAATGAAATAAATAGTAAGGAACGCCCACATGACCTAGTTTAAAGCGTGCTTTGCCTTAAAAGTATGCGAAAAACCAATAAACGACAATGTTTACATTCCGTACATTGATGGGACATCCAGTCAACAATTGGTCACCAGATATTATATCGGTAAAGATTTTATCAAAAATAATCGTTTTTATTTAGGTCCCATCAATTGAATGAAAGTGATATATGGTATTTTATCATCGATTGATCATCGTTCGCTGGACACGATAAGTAATCGATGACACGTTAGATAATTTTACAGCATATTTTGATTAAATGAAAAAAAATGCGATAACGCTGTCTGATTAAATAAGTTTACATTGGTAGGGCGTTGTCAGAAGGTAGAAGAACATTTCAATATTGACATATCATGCATTACAAACTTACGCTGAAACTTTACGGACGAATAATTTCGTTTTACACTCGTGTCAGTTTAAGTTTGTTAATATGTCCTTTTCATAGAGAATTACGTTTAACTCTTTTAGATAATAACTATTACACATGGCCTATTATGAATAAATTCAATAAGGTTATGTCAACACCCAAAAGATATGTTATAGTAAAACTTGCAAAATTTATCTATCTGGCTTTAAAGAACAGAAATGAGAGTGTTGTTGTAGAAAACAATATGTATTTCATTAAACTATTTGCCATATATATGATGTATATTATTATAGATATGTTAAATAATATGCCATGACTTGTATTGTATGTGTTTATGTGTACTTAATAATGCTCATCTTTTGTTAAACATGAATTATATATTTTCATATTTTTCAATATTATACTACTATTGTTAATCTAACCGCCAATTATGTGTGGCGAAAAACATGTATATATATTTATGCTAAGAAATACTTTGACTTGACTATTATAACTTTAACGTGATCAAAATAAATACAAAGTTAGAAAAATGAAGCGTCCGATTTGTCGACATAAATAGTGCTCCATTCAAAATGTGTTACAATACATCAAAGCAATATCTATTACAATGTTGCTACGATATAAAATAACGAAAGTGAAACGTATAACCCTTAATTGACCATAACTACAAATAACTGATTGTGATACAATTTCGCTGAATGTAAAAACAACTTACAAATTGTATTTATCAAAAAATCCCAATATAAATTTTAAGCACATTCTATTTCCTACACTATTCTCCACTAAATGATCTGTAAGTAATCAATAAAACATGAATAAATAAAACAAACTATTGTAAAATAGGATAGAACGATAAGCATTGATTTTACACTTGATACTATAGAAAAAGAAAAAAAAACAAACATGAGGAAAGTTAATCCACAATGAGAATAAAACACACAGCAAATGCTAAAAGTACATTAACAACTCCGTGTTAACATTGAAACTGATCGCGAGCATCTTAAACTTACCGGGCAAGTCCAGATTTTATTGATTTTAACTTAATTTATAATCCATGTTAGCTTGAAGGTTTTGATAAAGATACTTGTATGTATGTTCCCACACTGGGCGTCTCCTACCGCCTAGATGATGCACACAGGTAAATAAATTCTCTCGCTTCATTCAACCACAGTTATTTCATACAAACTTTAAATCTACGTTGAAAAAGGTAGATCGACTAATGATGCGGGCCGAAGGCGATATGATATTTTACAATTTTTCAGAAGTAAGCATTTTCGACGATAACTTTCAAGGTTTTTCTACGTGAAATCGATTTCCGTTAACTAAATAATGCACATACAAATGTATTTAGTTTACGCCACCGCATTCCATAGTAATGACTTACTATGTCTATCTTGTATATGATGGTATTTGAACGTAATGTAACATAATGGTAGGGGAAATTAACTAATAACTGGCATTTATGGATTGTTTACTTAACTCGTCCTTGGATGATAATTATTTCAATCGCCTACCAGTCAGAAACAATATTAGTAGCTTTTCAGTATTATTGTTAATAAAGCAGCAGTTACCACAAACTCTTGACTACATGTATAATAAGTGTTGTATAGTAAATTTACTACCTTATATACGAGTATTGACAAGTACATTTATATCTACAATACATGAATTATAAGGAAATGTTTGAAATATTCGTTCGTATTATTTTATAGATATTTCATATAGGAAAGGACAATATTGCGCTGACAATAGTATCCCACGTTGTCGTGAAAAAACGTGCCATATTGTAGCTTAAATCTCAAATATACACGAAAATAATATGCCTGAATAACATCAATTCCTTTATTTATTTACCTTGAAACATTTGAATACATAAACAAAAATTAAAAATTATTGCATCGTTTAGGTACAATCATATCCATTTATCGTTAAATGATATGTATTATATTTCCCTTAAACAATACATTAACTTGACGGCATAAATTAAGTTAAGCGTAGAGTAACGGTTGATCAATTAATCATAAGCAGCATTGTACTCTGGTAAAAAATAAGTGTTTTATTCTATATATACCGGTAAGTCATCAATTATTAAAAACTGCAATACTATCATATTGCAACTGCGACAGTTTGCTATTTATATATCATATAAAACATGTTTTATGTGTTTATTTTAATATAGAATAAAGAATATATTATCTGAAATCTTACATAGTTGCCATTTACCTCGTTATATCCATCAATAATCATTACCAGTTAATGCACAAACAGAATATGTATCCTAGATTTTAATAATTCATATTCGACACGTTAACATAATAAAGCAAGGACCTTGTATAGTTATGAACGTCTCGTACATGTAACAGATGTGTACAAGTTAAGGAGACACTTTATTCAGATACTTTCACTATCGATCATACTCCGTGCTATATTAAGTCAGCTGTTACATTCCGAGACTGTACGTGGATCATATCCTGCAAGAGGGACATATATTGTAGGGGCATGACTCATGGGGACGCTAGCCGGGGCCCCGTCTCTTTAAGGATCGCTGACAGCTAGCGGTAATTTTCCTCTATTCGATAAGAATCAACGACAGTCTGCAACATCAGTATCCTAACACTTGCTATTTTTAGCGTTTCAAATATATATATATCATATCATTATTTATATCAATACTATAATAAGCTCACAAATAAGGCAGATTTTACACACTAGCTATGTATGTATAGTTCGAGAAAACGATACAAAATATGTTAATAGTCCATTGTATAAGTAGTGCAAGTCTGTACACAGAGCTTGCTGTTGTAATCTATCTCAACATCAAGCGTAATACAAACTGTTTGAAAAATATGTATAATTCAACATGTTACTTAATAAGCTTTATAACAATCATTCCTGTATGCAGGTTGGATTAATTGGTTGGGGTTTACAATGCAATATGATTAGTTCTTGAATAGAATAGTTGCTAAATCGATTATATTTACTCTGATTCACAAACACTTAAATGCTTCAAATACCTTTTCTGCAATCAATCTCCTGGACTTTTAGACCGTGCTCATTCATATTGCAGTAGGATTATTCACAATCCTCTGTCATTAAATGCATGGGATGAAATTTGCTTTAATTTGATATTTAACGAAATGGTAGAATTTAGAGATCCGATCAAAATTGTAATAGTATTAGTTGTCGCAGACTTGATTCTAATGTACACTTTTGCAGCTTAATGCAAGACTTTCCATGACCTGTGTTAGCTAGGGTAGCAATGTTTTCTTGTTGACTGAATGAGTGGAGATTATGTACTCCATGCAATTTTTTAATCATGAAATGTGTATCAATATCTTACATTACAGATATGTGGGAATTTCACTAGAGATCTGCAGATTGAAAAATGTATTTGTTTTAACCTGGACGCCATATATTCAAGAAAACGAGTGACATACATACATTGCAACGATAATTTAATATTAATGAAATTATATAATAGAGAGAAATAGAATCCCTAAAGGACGTCCAAAACGTCAAAATCGAAAATGTTGCAAGCTTGGTTTGATTGATACTGTTCATGGACAGTACTGGAAAGTGCAAGCTACTGTCCAAGCCCCTTAGCACCGGCTTTAAAAGCAGTATTCAACATTTAAACAAGTAATGGTAACATTTTGAATTTAGAATCATCCACAGATATGTTTTGTGTAAAATGTACTACTTGTAACAAATGTGTTCAACATATACTATATTTATAGATATTCAAATATATATAGATCTACATATTTACGAGACATGATGTGATATGACAACTTTTAAGAAAACTAACAAAAATGAAAAATGAATGTAAATAGAGAAAAATGGTATCCCTTAAGAACGTTTAAAATGGTCAATTTGTTGCAGGTTCGGTTTGATTGAGCCTGTTGCTGAACGATAGTGGGAAGTGCAAGCTATCGTCCACACCCCACCTAGCACCGACTTTAGCGGAAGTTAACGAAATGGTCAAAATTGAATTCAGCAACATCAGCAGATGTCTCCAAAAACACAAACAAAATTATGCATAGCTTACATCATGGCAGCCTTGGAACTAAAATATTACACATTAATAATTCTCTTACAAGATGTCTATCTAGAGAGTCATAGCTATATATCGTTGGTTTCCACTAAAGAGAAATATTGTGTTTTTTTCCAGTGTATCGATAATCGTTGGACCTTTTGAAAACAAGCTTACATTATTACAAACTTTTCTTGTTCTCTTTTTCATTTCGAGCGATAACTTAATGACATAAACCGGGGTTTTCTAACAAAACTTTTCATATAAGGGCCCTGATGATGTGATGACAAATACTACAAGCATCTGAGATAATGGAACAAAATGTACAATAACATTATAAATACTCCAATAGTAATAGCATTATAACAGCTACCGTATTATATTGTATTGTAAGAACTTAATCAAACGCATAGTCCTTACAGTGATTTGACTCGATGCTATCTTTATTCTGTATAATATTAGTAGGAAACTTCTTTGATATCACTTGACTGTGTCCATTAACATGACACTGTTAAAATATCAAAAACGTTCGGATATATCCCACACAAGTCAATTGTTGATAACATAGAAAGCTTTTCATAGAAGATTCATAAATAAAATCAATTGTTCACTATGATCATTAAGGCAGATTACAAAAATTGGAAAGGTTTTCCCAGGGATAATGTAATGATCTAATCCATGTCTAGTTTATTGACAATTTGATCAATTTCCACTCTAATTTCAGATTTCTGTCCAACAGTTCTGACGTCTGTCCCTATAATCGGTCTTTGTGGAGTTGATGTCACAGACTCACTAGTCACGACACATCTATTTACTATTTTCAGGAAAAAAAAGAAGACACACACACACACGCGCGCACACGCAAAAGTAAAAGATATACGAGCGCTCTTAAAGCAACACAAACGACCAGAAAATCCGTTTTTATACTGAGATTAACATGAATAGACAGACGCATTGTATCGTCTGCCCACCTCGGTGATAAATCACTTGTTTTTGTGTCATTGCCTTGAGACATTTTCTAGTCTTTGTTGCTTTTTTTAGTAAGAATAATTCCCATTTCGCCATCAAAATTGTTGATATAAAAACAAACACAACAATATTTTCAGTAATTTATAACAACTTCCTAACTTCTTGTACGATCAATATAATTAATAACAATGACAATACTCGAATTATTTATAAATATAATAGGTGATTCAGAAGTAAATACGGCTTACAGAATATATAAATGTTAGATAGATATATTTACGTCAGCAGGTGTTTAGGTTACTTTTACTTGAGATAAAAATAAAACTTTTCGTATGCAATTGTATGTATACCTTACATAACTGCATAAATACTTTGCAAAACAGTATACATATACATTGTAATGTGAAATCAGATTTACTGGTATAAGGCTTAAGCTTCTTAAGTCTTATTTTTGTAAAATATTTATTGAAATGGACAAACACAAAAAAGGAAAGGTGTATACATTTAACAACACTACAAATTGTATGGAAATTTTTTACTATTATACTTACAGTACCGTATTATCTTAATACATCCTCAATATAACTATAAAACACTATTAAATTTTATATCTTATATCGCTATATCAAAATGTCTTATCATAAACTTTCAATGAATGTAGATATTATGCAAATACAAGTATATTGTACTCCCCCGCTAACACCGCCCGATGATAAAATGTGTCATACTGCTTAGAACAAGGTGTATCCTGACCACAAACTGACAGCCGTAATATATATAGATGCATATCTAGAAATGTTAATTTTATGTATAATGTAATTCTAAGAAGACAGGACTAGCTATTCACATCTACTGTATTCAAGATACTTCTACAAATAAATGGTTTTATGGTGGTTTTAAAAAGCACATTAAAGTCTTAACAAAGTTTCACCTTTACATATTTTACAAAAAATGTATTTAAACGTTAATAATACAAATAGATAATATTATAGTAATATATTTCTGTGGGATTAAGGAAGTGATGTTCTTTTTTGATATAGTAAATGTTTATAAAGATTTATCTGTTTTTACACTAAAAATGTCCCCAGCACGTATGCGTGGGTAGCTCAATATAAGCTTGTACGAAATATTGACTGGTTGTTCGACAAAAAAAGTCATGGTAC